ATCATGCCATTGCACTCCAGCCTAGGCAACAAGAGTAAAACTCCACCATCTAAAAAAAAGGCCAGGCGCAGTGGCTCACACCTCTAATCCCAGCACTTTGAGAGGCCAGGGCGGGTGGATCACTTGAGGTCAGGAGTTCAAGACCAGCTTGGCCAATACGGTGAAACCCCATCTGTACTAAAAACACAAAAATTATCTGGGTATGGTAATGCATGCCTGTAATCCCAGCTACTCAGGAGGCTGAGGCAGGAGGATTGCTTGAACCTGGGAGGTGGAGGTTGCAGTGAGTCCGTATCACGCCATTGCATTACAGCCTAGGCAACAAGAGTAGAACTCCACCATTAAAAAAAAAAAAAAAATAGGGGCCGGGCGCGGTGGCTCAAGCCTGTAATCCCAGCACTTTGGGAGGCCGAGGCGGGCGGATCACGAGGTCAAGAGATCGAGACCATCCTGGTCAACATGGTGAAACCCCGTCTCTACTAAAAATACAAAAAATTAGCTGGGCATGGTGGCGCGTGCCTGTAATCCCAGCTACTCAGGAGGCTGAGGCAGGAGAATTGCCTGAACCCAGGAGGCGGAGGTTGCGGTGAGCCGAGATCGCGCCATTGCACTCCAGCCTGGGTAACAAGAGCGAAACTCCGTCTCAAAAAAAAAAAAAAAAAAAAAAATAGGACTGGGCATGGTGGCTCACACCTGTAATCTCAGCACGTAGGGAGCCCGACACAGGTGGATCATAAGGTCAGGAGTTCGAGACCAGCCTGACCAACGAATTAGTAGCTGTAATCCCAGTTACTCATGAGGCTGAAGAAGGAGAATTGCTTGAACTGAGGAGGCAGACGTTGCAGTGAACTCAGATTGTGCCATTGCACTCCAGCCTGGGTGACAGAGCAAGACTTTGTCTCAGAAAAAAGTAAATGAGAGAAAAAAAAATTTCTTTTGAGACAGAATCTTGATCTGTCGCCGAGGCTGGAGTGCAATGGTGCAATCTTGGCTCACTGCAACCTCCACCTCTTGGGTTCAAGTGATTCTCTCAACTCAGCCTCCTGAGTAGCTGGGATTACAGGAGTATGCCACCATGACCAGCTAATTTTTTTTTCTTGAGATGGCATCTTGCACTGTTGCCTGGGCTGGAGTGCAAAGGCGTGATCTCGGTCACTGGAACCTCCCCTCCCAGGTTCAAATCATTCTCCTACCACAGCCTTCCAGGTAGCTGGGATTACAGGTGCCTGCCACCACGCCTGACTAATTTTTTGTATTTTTAGTAGAAACAGGGTTTCACTGTGTTAGCCAGGCTGGTCTTGAACGCCTTACCTTGTGATCCACCTGCCTCAGCCTCCCAAAGTGCTGGGATTACAGATGTGAGCCACCGTGCCCAGCTTTTTTTTTTTTTTTTAGAGAGACGGGGTTTCACCATGTTGGCCAGGCTGGTCTCAAACTCCTGACTTAGGTGATCTGCCCGCCTCGGCCTCCCAAAATGCTAGGATTACAAGTGTGAGCCACCGTGCCCAGCATTTTTTTTTTTTTTTTTTTTTTTTTTTGAGATGGAGTTTCGCTCCTGTTACCCAGGCTGGAGTGCAATGGCGCAATCTTGGCTCACTGCAACCTCCGCCTCCTGGGTTCAGGCAATTCTCCTGCCTCAGCCTCCTGAGTAGCTGGAATTACAGGCACGCGCCACCATGCCCAGCTAATGTTTTGTATTTTTAGTGGAGACAGAGTTTCTCCATGTTGGTTAGGCTAGTCTTCAACTCCTGTCCTCGGGTGATCTGCCTGCCTCTGCCTCCTAAAGTGCTGGGATTACAGTCATGAGCCACTGCGCCCGGCGATAATTTTTTTCTTTTTTTTTTTTTTGAGATGGCATTTCACTCTTGTTACCCAGGCTGGAGTGCAATGGCGTGATCTCGGCTCACCATAACCTCCGCCTCCTGGGCTCAGGTGATTCTCCTGCCTCAGAGGCGATTCTCCTGCCTCAGCCTCCTGAGTAGCTGGGATTACAGGCACCTGCCACCATGCCCAGCTAATTTTTTGTATTTTTAGTAGAGACGGGGTTTCACCATGTTGACCAGGATGGTCTCGATCTCTTGACCTCGTGATCCACCCACCTCAGCCTCCCAAAGTGCTGGGATTACAGGCTTGAGCCACCGCACCCGGCCGCGTATTTTGAATTATTTGAAATAAATGTTCAAAAGAGGACTTCATGGGTCAAAGTACATATTTGTGTGACTGCTGATAATAGATATCTACTTTGTTTTCCAAAATAATTATGTGTCTTGAAATGATTGTGTATTTATTTCTTTGCAGACTAAGGAGCATTAGTTTTATTAGGATGCATTAAAATGTATACACTTAAGACTTTACCAGCCTGGGTGTGGTGGCTCATACCTGTAATGCCAGCACTTTGGGAGGCTGAGGTGGGTGGATCACCTGAAGTCAGGAGTTCAAGTCCAGCCTGACCAATGTGGTGAAACCCTGTCTCTACTAAAAAATAAAAAAGTAGCCAGGTGTACCGGTGTGTGCCTGTAGTCCCAGCTACTTGGGAGGCTGAGGCAGTAGAATCACTTGAACTCAGGAGGCGGAGGTTGCAGTGAACCAACATCGCCTCACTGTACTCCAGCCTGGGCAGCAGAGTGAGAATGTCTCAAGGAAAAAAAAAAAAGGCCTGGAACCATGGCTCATGCCTGTAATCCCAGCACTTTGGGAGGCCAAGGTGTGCGGACCACAAGGTCAGGAGTTTGAGACCAGCCTGGCCAATATGGTAAAACCCCGGTCGCTACTAAAAAGTCAAAAATTGGCCGGGCGCGGTGGCTCAAGCCTGTAATCCCAGCACTTTGGGAGGCCGAGGCGGGTAGATCACGAGGTCGAGAGATCGAGACCATCCTGGTCAACATGGTGAAACCCCGTCTCTACTAAAAATACAAAAAACTAGCTGGGCATGGTGGTGCGTGCCTGTAATCCCAGCTACTCGGGAGGCTGAGGCAGGAGAATTGCTTGAGCCCAGGAGGCGGAGGTTGCGGTGAGCCGAGATGGCGCCATTGCACTCCAGCCTGGGTAACAAGAGCGAAACTCCGTCTCAAAAAAAAAAAAAAAAAAAAAAAAAAAAAAAAAAAAATTAGCTGGGCATGGTGGCACGTGCCTGTAATCCCAGCTACTCAGGAGGCTGAGGCAGGAGAATTGCCTGAACCCAGGAGGCGGAGGTTGCGGTGAGCCGAGATCGCGCCATTGCACTCCAGCCTGGGTAATGAGTGAAACTCCGCCTCAAAAAAAAAAATAAATAAATAAATAAAATGATTTCTGGTTTGATTCTTGTGCAACAGATATGCTTTGTTTTAGATGATTTTTAATTCTAGAAATACTTTGCTCTTTATCTCTTAATAAGTTTCTATTATACCTCACGTTGGAGTATCGCCTGCATAATTGAAGACTTTTCCAGAGTTAAATACAATTTGAGAGTTAAATCAACCACTCTAGAGAGAGGAGGAGGAAAAGAGGGGAAGAAGCCACTGGTGGAGGAGCAGAAAGAGAAAAATAATTTGTAAGGGAATTGTTTTTCCAATGGTGTTCCATTAGGATTATCTGAAAAAGGACACATAAACGATTTCATCAAAACCTTATTCTTAGGCCGGGCGCGGTGGCTCATGCCTGTAATCCCAGCACTTTGGGAGGCCGAGGCGGGTGGATCACGAGGTCAAGAGATCGAGACCATCCTGGTCAACATGGTGAAACCCCGTCTCTACTAAAAAAAAATACAAAAAATTAGCTGGGCATGGTGGCGCGTGCCTGTAATCCCAGCTACTGAGGAGGCTGAGGCAGGAGAATTGCCTGAACCCAGAAGACGGAGGTTGCGGTGAGCCAAGATCGCGCCATTGCACTCCAGCCTGGGTAACAAGAGCGAAACTCCATCTCAAAAAACAACAACAACAACAAAAAAAACCTTTTTCTTATAAATCTATAGAGAGTTTGAGGAAGGAAAAGGTCCGTATATAGTATATGTAGTCAATATATAGAACAAGCATAGCTCTGTTAGCTGTAGTTTTCCTTTTTCACCATTCTATTAATAAGCCTATTTGAATGATTGGGTAAAATGATTGGTATACATCAGTCTTAGACCAAAAAGAATATTGCCAATACATTTTCCTCAATGCTACCTAGCTCTTGGTCAGACAATCTTAAGTACTTTTATTATCTTGAAATGGCATTTTGTCAGCCTTAAAAGAAAAATAATCAAGGAAGTTTAGAACTAAGATTTGTTTTTTTTGAGACGGAGTCTCACTGTTTTGTCCAGGCTGGAGTGCAGTGTCGAGATCTTGGCTCACTGCAACCTCCACCTCCCGAGTTCAAGCGATTCTCAGCCTCCCTAGTAGCTGGGATTACAGGCATCCGCCACCATGCCCGGCTAATTTGTATTTTTAGTAGAGACAGGGTTTCTTGATGTTGGTCAGGCTGGTCTCGAAGTCCCAGACCTCACGTAATCCGCCCGCCTAGACCTCCCAAACTGTTGGGAGTACAGGCGTGAGCCACTGTGCCCGGCCTGTATTCTAAGTAGAGAAGAGGTTTCCTCATGTTGGCCAGGCTGGTCTCGAACCCCTGACCTCCAGTGATCCGTCCACCTCGGCCTGCCAAAGTGCTGAGATTAGAGGAGTGAGCCACCGCAACCGACCTTCAGTGGTATCGATTTTGTCCGGGTGCTTCTTGTGTGTGTTCTAGTGTGGGAGTGGCGGCGATTGCTTTCCAGCACAAATCCGTTTGACTGCCGGGGTTTGAACAAGCAGCTTAGACGACACTAAAGTGGAGACCAGGATGGGGCGAGGACTCCCAGAGTTGGTAGAGGTTGCACGCTCACCGGGGGTCAAGCACCGCACGAGTTCCCACAAGTGCCGCAGCCCCAGCTCACGCACGCGCAGTCGCACCAGGGTCCTCCCGCCCCTCCCGCCGTCTCCGGGGGCCTTCTTTCCGCCCGGCGCGGGGCTGTCCGCGGTGCCGCCTGATCCTGTGCGCTGGTACCGTGAATGCAGTCTGCCCTTGGCACTCTTTTCCCTGAAGTGTTGTCGAGGCCAGGAAGGAAGGATGCACTCAGAGGACCGCAGACAGGTGGCCGTGGCTGAGAGGAGAGGCCCCCGCAGCACTGAGGGTTTGGGCTTGCAGGCGCTGCAGGAGGCGCCCTGCGGGGTCCTGTCTCAGCCATCTCTGAGCGGGAGGCCTGAGCGGGAAGCATTGGCGGTCGGGCGACTTCCAGGAAGCTAGAGTGTAGCGCTATGGAGGAGCTTGATGGCGAGCCAACAGTCACTGTAAGGGCGCCCCGAAAAGGCTTGTTCGTCCTTGCGGCTTCAGAACTGCGTCTGCTTCGTTAGTTCAGGCTTGTTTGCTTCCCTCCTGGCCGTGAGGCGCTCGTCCCCTATCCTCGACTCAGATGCCACTGTCCGAAGGTTGCAGAGTTAACGAGGTGCCCGCCCTCGAGTTGCAGTGGTCGCAGGGTTTCTGCCACCAGTCACAAGCCCTGGCCCCGAAGGTCCCACTCCATCCCTTTCCCTCCTTTGTCTTCGTGGCCTTTCTACTTCCCTCGCTTTTCCTCTTGGGCATTAGAGTGGGTTCAGCCCAAGCAGAATTGATGTTTTTTTACTAGCTATGTTCAGCTTTGCATGTTGAGCTTCGGCACATTGAGTTTCTGCCTGTGTGGTCTAAGGTTTATTGAACGTATTTATTCTCTGGGGGGACTTAAAACGGGCGCTTTGAATGAAGATACACCCAAACAGACTTTGTGTGAGCAACATGGCTGTTTATTCACCTGGGTGCGGGCTTGTTGAATCTGAAAAGAAAGTCAGCGAAGGGCAGTGAGATAGGAGTTGGTTTTATAGGTTTGGGGTGGGCAGTGGAAAGTTAGAGTGACTTGCAGCAACGGATGGGGAGGTGGTGTCCTGCACCCTAGGGTTAAGGTAGGGGGACATAAGCGGAGTTATTCAGGAGGTATGGGTTTGGGGAGGAGGGCGCCAGTGAGGTGTGGCTGTAGCCCAGGAATAGTTAAGGAGGCAGACAATTTTGCTAGGATATCTTGACCTAACAGGGGAACTGGGCAAGTGGGAATGATTAGGAAAGGGTTGCTGGCCTAATTGACACCAGACTTGGGGAGTTTTGAGAGGCCTGGAGACCTTACCGTCAATTCCCACAACAGTTATGGAGGCCAAGGAGACAGGTCCTTGAAAAGAAGGCAGTGTGGAGTGGGTGGCTCTGGGTTGATTAAGAAGGGGATGGACTTACCCACCACCAGTTACTCAAAGCGCGGTGTTTGTGATGGTCCAGGGAGCCTCTGAGATGTTCAGGCAGCAGTCTTCAGCCACCAAGCCAAAGAGATCAGGGAAAGAGTCAGCCTGAGCGCTACCGGGTTGGGCTCCTGGAGCCTTAAAGACAGCAGTTTGAGTCCGGCAGTCCCACCTCCATTGGGGTCCCACACAGACGGGACATGGTTTAGGAAGAATCCCAGTTGGGAGGCCGAGGCGGGTGGATCACGAGGTCAGGAGACCCAGACCATCCTGGCCAACATGGTGAAACTCTGTCTCTACTTATTATTTTTTTTTTTTTTTGAGACGGAGTTTCACTCTTGTTACCCAGGCTGGAGTGCAATGGTGCGATCTCGGCTCACCGCAACCTCCGCCTCCTGGGTTCAGGCAATTCTCCTGCCTCAGCCTCCTGAGTAGCTGGGATTAGAGGCACGCGCCACCATGCCCAGCTAATTTCTTGTATTTTTAGTAGAGACGGGGTTTCACCATGTTGACCAGGATGGTCTCGATCTCTTGACCTCGTGATCCACCCACCTCGGCCTCCCAAAGTGCTGGGATTACAGGCTTGAGCCACCACGCCCGGCCCGTCTCTACTTATATCCAAAAATTAGCTGGGCATGGTGGCTCGTGCCTGTAGTCCCAGCTGCTTGGGAGGCTGAGGCAGGAGAATTGCTTGAACCCAGGAGGTGGAAGTTGCAGTGAGCCGAGATCCCGCCACTGCACTCCAGACTGGCGACAGAGCAAGACTATCTCAAAAAAAAAAAAAAAAAAAAAAAAAAAAAATTCCTGGGCTGCTTGGCTCAGTGGCCAGGTTCTCCGCATTTGAAGCAAGGCTTTGGGGAAGGAGGTCCTGAAGAGAAGTCTGGACGCTGTGGGTTTGGCGGTCTGAAACTTCTGTGAGCCAAGGAAGTGGCTGCAGTCTGTCTTACAGTGGAGGCAAGCATTTGTAATTCCGAAATACGCTGCCGCTGGGTAGCTTTTTCCTTATTATTGAACACCTTAAAGGTGAGGTTGATTAATTCCTGTTGTGGGGTTTGAGGGCCAGATTCTAATTTCTGTGGCTTTTTGTAATGTCAGGGACTCATTGGGTGATAAAATGCACATCAAGCATTCTTCAGGGGTGAGAGTAGAAGTAAGGATGATATTTAAGTTACTCCAGGTGAGATTATAGGCCTGGGTTAAGTATTGAAGGACCTGATGTAAAAGAGCCTAACCATTGGCTGATTTGGGAAAGGTCGGATAAAGAGGAAGGAATGTGCACCCTAACTATGCCTTTGGCTCCAGCCACCTCTCAAAGAGGGAATTGTCAGGCAGGGGTGGAGGAGGTAGCCACAGGACTAAACTGCAAGCTGGAGCACTTATGAGGTGGGGAGGTGACAGGAGGGGCATAAGGAAATGGGTTGTGGGCAGAAGAAGAGGAGAAAGGCTCTGGGGGTTGGGCTTAGGTCCTGGATAAGGGCCTGGTTCCGACAGGCAGGGAGGACAAAGGTTGGATGGGTCGATGGACAAGGAGGATTCTAGGTTGCTGGCAGAGGCAGGAGGGGCAGATGGAAGGGAGAGAAGGAAAATTTGGGATGGGTTGCATTGAGAACAGAGATTAGGGAGAGATTGGTGTGTAAAAAAGAATGCCTGGACGTAGGGAATTTGCCCATTTTACTCCAAAAGTTGTCTAGATCCTGTAGGATAGGGAAATTGTAGGTACCATTTTTTGGCCATTTAGAGCCATTGTCCAATTTATATTGTGGTCAAGCAGTATTGCAGAAGAAAATAAGATGCTGAGGTTTTAGGTCAGGTGATAGCTAGAGAAGTTTGAGGTTTTTTAGCACGTAGGCTAAGGGAGAGGAGGGAGGAATGGAGGGTAGGAGGTTGCCCATAGTTGAAGAAGAGCGGCGGAAAAAATATAAAAAAAAGCAACAACAAAAAAAGACAAGAGCGGTGGAGACAAGGAAAGTGAATGCGTGACCAGCAGGTGTCCCAGACTAAATCTTGGTCTTAACCTGGGGTGAATCAGTCAAAGGGGGTGTCACCCATGTTGATCCATCACCTGTGAGTGTGAGGAGTGACCAGAGCAGATGTCTCTGCAATGATCAGTCACTGATAGAAGACTGTCTTCCCAGTTCCGTGACCTACGTAGGATTTTTTTCTAGTCATGAACGTCACAGAAAGTCCTGTCTTTCTTGTCTCCACTGAAAGGGAGAGAAAAATGAAACAGGAGACGAAGCTTGACAGGTAGCGAGAAGGGCTAAAGAGAAAAGTTGAGGCAAACCACTTACCTGAGCCGAGGATGGTGAGTAGATCTGTGGGCTGGTCTGATGAACCTAGGTCATAGATAGGTCTCTCCATGGAGGGAGCACAAGAACAGGACAGGGGTTTGGTCTCCTGTAGGAGTTCCCCCAGCCCAGGTTTCTGGCACGAAATGTTAAAACGTGCACTCTGAATGAAGAGACTGCTACCCCCCCCCCCACAGCCCCCTAGACTTAGTGTGTGAGCAACATGGCTGTTTATTCACCTGGGTGTGGGCAGGCTGAGTCCGAAAAGAGAGTCAGTGAAAGGCCATGGGAGAGGAGTAGGTTTTATAGGTTTGGGGTCAGCAATGGAAAGTTACAGAAGTTATAGTTTAGGGCAGGGTTTTTGCAAGCTGAGATGGGGGTCATAGGTTTTCAAGCTGGGAGGAGTTTGTAGGGTACGGAGTCCAGGTTGACCTAGACCAGGTTGACCAAGGTTGGTTACAAAGTCCAATGGCCTTTTCAGTTGGGGCGGGAATAAAGAACAATAGAGAATGTCTCAAAGTGGTTGATCATTTCTTCCTCTTTTCATGGTCTTCCAGTTATTTCTGATTTTCTAGGAACTCATCTGGAGTCACAGAGGTTAACATGGCATTCATGGGGCCGTCAGTCAGCCTAAAAGAACTTACAGAGACTATTCCTATTTTATTGCTGTGCATTCAATTCCGTTTGAACTTTGAAGAGAGTATGTCAAATGTGGATAATCTGTGATGTGTATACAGAAATTCATGGGCTTTATGTAGGAGATACCTACTGTTTCTGCTGCTTGGAATGTTCTTCTCTTCCCTCTTTTTCTCGTTAACTGAAAAGTGACTGAGGCAAGTCTCAATCAGTAAAGGTTTATTTAGCTAAGGTTGAGAATCCAACCAGGAAAAGACACAGGTCACAGGAGAATGTGTGACTTGTGGGTTTTTTTTTTTTTTTTTTTTTTTTTTTTTTGTGACTTGTGTTTTTACCAAAGATAGTTTTGGGAACATCATTAGTTAAAGAGGAAGGAGCTGCTGGGCGTGGTGGCTCACGCCTGTAATTCTTTGAGAGGCCTAGATGGGTGGATCACAAGGTCAGGAGTTCAAGACCAGCCTGGCCAACATGGTGAAACCCCATCTCTCTCTTTTTTTTTTTCTTTTTTTTATTTTGAGACGGAGTTTCATTCTTGTTACCCAGGCTGGAGTGCAATGGTGCGATCTCGGCTCACCGCAACCTCCGCCTCCTGGGTTCAGGCAATTCTCCTGCCTCAGCCTCCTGAGTAGCTGGGATTACAGGCACGCGCCACCACGCCCAGCTAATTTTTTGTATTTTTAGTAGAGACGGGGTTTCACCATGTTGACCAGTATGGTCTCCATCTCTTGACCTCGTGATCCACCCGCCTCGGCCTCCCAAAGTGCTGGGATTACAGGCTTGAGCAACCGCGCCTGGCTATTTTTTTAAATTTATTTATTTTTCCTTCCTTTCTTTCTTTCTTTCTTTTTCTTTTTCTTTCTTTCTTTCTTTCTTTTTATTTTTTTAAAGATGGGGTTTCACCATGATGGCCAGGCTGGTCTTGAACTGCTGGCCTCAGGTGATCCACCCACCTCGGCCTCCCAAAGTGCTAGGAATACAGGTGTGAGCCACCGTGCCCGCTCAAAACTTTTATTTATTTATTTATATTTTTCTTTCCTTTCTTTATTTTTAAATTTTTTTTTGGTTTATTTATTTATTTATATTTTTAAAAAGCCTGCAGCACCAGCATTCCCAGGTGGTCTCTCATTCGAGTACTAACCAGGCCCTACCCTGCTGACCCTGTCTTAAAAAAAAGAGTTGATTAAGCCAGATCCTTTTCTGTGTATACACATTTGGCTTAGCATTTCCTCACTTTTCTGGCTTCACTTTTCTTCAGAAAAGTGAAGAAATGCTAAGCCAAATGTGCGTTCTAGAACCCAGCACAGAAAAATGGTCCTATAAGCATTACTTTGTTGGCAAATGACATCGGTAGGCCTTCTTTGTTTTTTTGTTTTTTGTTTTTTTGAGACAGAGTTTCGCTCTTGTTACCCAGGCTGGAGTGCAATGGCATGATCTCGGCTCACCGCAACCTCCGCCTCCCGGGTTCAGGCAATTCTCCTGTCTCAGCCGCCTGAGTAGGTGGGATTACAGGCACACACCACCATGCCCAGCTAACTTTTTGTATTTTTAGTAGAGACGGGGTTTCACCTTGTTGACCAGGATGGTCTCGATCTCTTGACCTCGTGATCCACCCGCCTCGGCCTCCCAAAGTGCCGGGATTACAGGCTTGAGCCACTGCACCCGGCCCGGTAGGCCTTCTTAAGAACTGAATACAGTTGGCCGGGCACAGTGGCTCACACCTGTAATCCTGGCACTTTAGGAGGCCGAGGTGGGCGTATCACGAGGTCAGGAGATGGAGACCATCCTGGCTAACATGGTGAAACCCTGTCTGTACTAAAGATATAAAAATTAGCTGGGCACAGTGGCGTGTGCCCATAGTCCTAGCTACTTGGGTGGCTGAGGCAGGAGAATTTGCTTGAACCCGGGAGGTGGAGGTTGCAGTGAGTCCAGATTGCACCATTGCACTCCAGCCTGGGCAACAGAGTGAGACTCCGTCTCAAAGAAAAAACAAAACAAAACAAAACAAAACTGAATGCACTTAAGCACTTGTCTTGAGACCACACTAGTGCCATGGAAATTTATTATCTGCCAAAATATTAATAGATTGCCAGCTGTGTACTGGAGTCTCCTGCCCTTGTGAGCGTTCATCTGTTGACAGGGCAGATGATACCCATGTGCTAGAGTCATGCTGTTGTTGTGGTCCAGAGAAGAGTTGATGATGGTGGGTTGGATTATATTGGTAGAACAGGATTTACTAGATTAGTTGGGGGTGGTGAAGAAAAGGAAGAGTGAAGGATTGCTGCTAACTGTTGGGGAAGGCTTTGTCTCAGTACCAGTGTGGGCTGAAGTTTGAGGATGAGGATGGGCATCAAGAGTTTTGTTTTGGCTGTTGATGTTATAGATATAACTCTGTAGGTTGGGTAGCCTACAGCAGTGAGCATTAGGCTGTTGGATGTGTGAAGCTGGGGTTCAAAGGATTGAGAGTTAGAGAGAAAAATTTATCACCATTATATAGATGGCACAGAAGCTGTAGGATTCAAGGCCCCTGCCTTTTTTCAGTGATTAATGGTTCAGTTATTATTTTTTATATTTTGACTTATTTTTCTGAACCACAGATCACTAAATTATAAGGATTAGGGTGTATATTGCCTGTTCATCAGTACTTGAGAGACGACAGGCTGGGTTGAGGAGCCTAGCAAAGCTCACTTATTCAGAGATTGTTAGTGGTCCAACAGTCTGGGCTGATCGCAACCACACACAACTGTGCACATAGATCAGTATATTCACTTATGAATGAATCAGTGAATAAGTGAATGACGGGGTTTTGCTCTGTTTACCAGGCTGGAATGCAGTGGCACCATCATGGTTTACTGCAGCCTTGACCTGGGAGGCTCATGCCATCCTCCTGTCTCAGCCACTGAAGTAGCTGGGACCACAGGTATGCCTGGCTAATTTTTGTATTTTTTTGTAGAGGTGGGTTCTCCCTATGTTGCCCAGGCAGGTCTGGGATATTACAGATATGAGACACAGATCAGTACTTTTTTTTTTTTTTCTTTTTTTTTTTTTTTGAGATGGAGTTTCGCTCTTGTTACCCAGGCTGGAGTGCAATGGCGCGATCTCGGCTCACCGCAACCTTCGCTTCCTGGATTCAAGCAATTCTCCTGCCTCAGCCTCCTGAGTAGCTGGGATTACAGGCACACGCTACCATGCCCAGCTAATTTTTTTTTTGTATTTTTAGTAGAGACGGGGTTTCACCATGTTGACCAGGATGGTCTCGATCTCTCGACCTCGTGATCCACCCACCTCAGCCTCCCAAAGTGCTGGGATTACAGGCTTGAGCCACCGCGCCCGGCCCCCCAGATCACTACTTAATAACTTTCATGACTACTTATTTCCAGGATTACATCAAGTCCTTACATAAAGTTATGGATAGTTCAGGCCGGGCGCGGTGGCTTAGGCCTGTAATCCCAGCACTTTGGAAGGCCGAGGCGGGTGGATCACAAGGTCAAGAGATCTGAGACCATCCTGGTCAATATGGTGAAACCCTGTCTCTACTAAAAATAGAAAATATTAGCTGGGCATGGTGGCACGTGCCCGTAATCCCAGCTACTCAGGAGGCTGAGGCAGGAGAATTGCCTGAACCCAGGAGACAGAGGTTGCTGTGAGCCGAGATCGCGCCATTGCACTCCAGCCTGGGTAACAAGAGCGAAACTCCGTCTCAAAAAAAGAAAAAAAAGTTGACCCAGCGTGGTGGCTCAAGCCTGTAATCCCAGCACTTTGGGAGGCCGAGGCAGGTGGATCACGAGGTCGAGAGATTGAGACCATCCTGGTCAACATGGTGAAACCCCGTCTCTACTAAAAATACAAAAAACTAGCTGGGCGTGGTGGCGTGTGCCTGTAGTCTCAGCTACTTAGGAGGCTGAGGCAGGAGAATTGCCTGAGCCCAGGAGGCGGAGGTTGCGGTGAGCCGAGATCGCGCCATTGCACTCCAGCCTGGGTAACAAGAGCGAAACTCCATCTCAAAAAAAAAAAAAAAAAAAAAGTTATGGATAGTTCTTGGAAACGGTGACTTTAAGTCAAATGATGTATAAAAAATGAATTTTTCTTTTCTTTTTTTTTTTTTTTGGGCAATATGGTGAAACTCCATCTCTACTACAAGTACAAAAAAATAGCCAGGTGTGGTGACACATGCCTATAGTTTTGGGAACTTTGGAGGTTGAGGCAGGAAAATCCCTTGAACTCAGGAAGTAGAGACTGTAGCAGGCAAGCCGAGGTTGTGCCGCCGTACTCCAGGCTGGGAGACACAGTGAGACGTTGTCTCAAAAAAAAAAGAATAGAATGACTTCAGTCAGAAGAACGTTGTTCATTTTAGATTTCTTTGTCTTATTTTTTAATAGTTGATTCCAGGTGTGAATTCCAAGAAGCACCAAATGTGTTTTGACTGGGGCCCAGGGGAAATGCTGGTGTGTGAAACCTCCTTCAACAAAAAAGGTAGGGTTTTTTTTTTTTCTTCCAAATTATCCGTCTTGAGACATTAGGTGGTTTTTCTGTTTATTACCCCAGATTTGACTAGTTGTGGACTGAAATGGTTGAATTTATTTTGTGCTGTTTTTTCTTTTCTTTGACACAACAGGGTTTTGTTGTGTCACCCAGGCTGGAGTACAGTGCGATCATGGCTCACTGCAGCCTCTACCTCTTGGGCTCAAGCGATCTCCTGCCTCGGTTGTCTTAGTAGCTGGGACTACAGGTCACCATGCCACCACATCTGGCTAATTTTTTTTTCTTTGTAGAGACGGGAGTCTCGTTTTGTTGTCTAGGCTTGTCTCACACACCTGGCCTCAAGCAATCCTGCTGCATTTCAGCATTTTTATTTTTGACATGTTAGCTATTTTAGATTTTCATTAATTTTTGAAATCTTGAAGATGTTGAATCCTGGAAAAAATTAACAATAGTCTTCATGAAAAATTTTCTTCACATTTAAAATGTCAAGCTTTTTATCCCTTTTTCCTTGTCCAAAGTGACCAAATTCCTGTCAGTAGCTCCCTTTTTTTTTTTTTTTTTTTTTTTTTGAGATGGAGTTTCGCTCTTGTTACCCAGGCTGGAGTGCAATGGCGCGATCTCGGCTCACCGCAACCTCCGCCTCCTGGGCTCAGGCAATTCTCCTGCCTCAGCCTCCTAAGTAGCTGGGATTACAGGCCCGCGCCACTACGTCCAGCTAGTTTTTTTGTATTTTTAGTAGAGACAGGGTTTCACATGTTGGCCAGGATGGTCTCGATCTCTTCACCTTGTGATCCACCCGCCTCGGCCTCCCAAAGTGCTGGGATTACAGGCTTGAGCCACCGCGCCCGGCCTAGTAGCTCCCTTATTGTGAAACCTAGCAGATGTTTGGGCGTCACTTTTGTGTCCACAGCATGGATTTAACGGAATAATAATTCTGTAGGCTGAGCTGAACTGTAGCATCCAAGGTACAGATAGAGCTGGAGACTGACATGGCTTGTCCGTGGCTTGTTTTCCTAAGTTCTATCAGCTATTGGATATGAATCTTTTTCTTTTCCTGATTCAGCCTCTCTCCAGTCAAAAGATAAAACAGGCTGGAGTGCAGTGATGTGATCATGGCTCACTGCAGGCTAGACCGGGTGAGCTCAAGAGATCTTCCCATTTCGGCCTACCTACTAGCTGGGAGTATAGGCAAGTACTACCATACCTGTCTAATTCTTTTTTTTTTTTTTTTTTTTTTTTTGTTAGAGATGGGGTTTCACTGTGTGTTGTCCAGGCTGGCCTCAAATTCCTGGGTTCAAACGATCTTCCTACTTCAGCCTCCCGAAGTGCTGGGATTACAGGCGTGAGTCACTGAGCCTGGTCCAGTTTATATAATGTTTTGTTTGTTTGAGATGGAGTCTTGCTCTGTAACCAGGCTGGAGTGCAGTGACATAATCTTGGCTCACTGCAGACTCCGCCTCCTGGGTTCAAGTGATTTTTCCGCCTCAGCCTCCCGAGTAGCTGGGACCACAGGTGTGCGCCACCAAGCCCGGCCAATTTTTTTGTATTTTTAATAGACGGGTTTCACTGTGTTGGCCAGGATGGTCTCCATCTCTTGACCTTGTGATCTGCCCGCCTCGGCCCCCCAAAGTAGTGCAGTTTATATAATTTTTAAGTGATGCAGTTTTCTTTTTTTTTTTTTTTGAGATGGAGTTGCACTCTTGTTACCCAGGCTGGAGTGCAATGGCGCAATCTCAGCTCACCGCAACCTCCGCCTCCTGGGTTCAGGCAATTCTCCTGCTTCAGCCTCCTGAGTAGCTGGGATTACAGACATGCGCCAGCATACCCAGCTAATTTTTTCTATTTTTTTAGTAGAGATGGGGTTTCACCATGTTGATGAGGATGGTCTCGATCTCTTGACCTCGTGATCCACCCGCCTCAGCCTCCCAGAGTGCTGGGATTATAGGCTTCAGCCACCGTGCCCGGCCTGTTTTCTTGATTTTATAGTTGATTTTATGTCTCTTCTGTTGCTAAATTATTCTGTGATATGTGGATATTAAAGAGCCCAAGCTTCGCAGAGAAATAGAATCTGCCAATGGGGTGTTGCTCAGAAGAGCATATTCTGTGAATATGTTCAAATGGCCTCTTTCCATCTTGAATGAGAAAGTCAATCAGCATTTCTAGTTTGACCTACATTGTTGGAAGCACAAGGAAAGTTTTCTTCTGTTTTTCTTTTTTTAAAAAAAGATGTGAGGTTGGCCGGGCGCAGTGGCTCACGCCTGTAATCCCAGTACTTTGGGAGGCTGAGGTGGGTGGATCACCTGAGGTTGGGAGTTCAAGACCAGCCTGACCAACATGGAGAAACCCCATCTCTACTAAAAATACAAAATTAGCCTTGGTAGCACATGCCTGTAATCTTAGTTACTCCAAAGGCTGAGGCAGGAGAATTGCTTGAACCCGGGTGGCAGAGTTTGCTGTGAACAGAGATTGCCCATTGCACTCCAGCCTGGGCAACAAGAGCAAATCTTGATCTAAAAAAAAAGAAGAAATTCCCATGAGTTGGTGGTTTATAATTTGTCTTAGTAGAGCCTTTCATTGTGTTTGCAAAATAATTTAGTCAACTTTTTTCATATATATATACAATTTATTTTTATAAGTTTTTTTGAGATGGGCTCTCACTTTGTCACCCAGGCCTGAGTGCAGTGGTAGGATCATGACTCATTGTAGCCTCAAACTCCTGAGGCTCAAATGATCCTCCTTCCTCAGTCTCCCAAGTAGCAATGTCTACAGGCATGGGCCACCATGCCTGCTAAGTCAGTTTTTTTTTTCTTTAATATTTAGGGACAGTGGCCGGGCACGGTGGCTCACACCTGTAATCCCAGCACTTCGGAGGGCAAGGCAGGCAGATCATAAGGTCAAGAGATCGAGACCATCCTGGCCAATATGGTGAAACCCCATCTCTACTAAAAATACAAAAATTAGTTGGGTGTGGTGGTGCATGCCTGTAGTCCCAGCTACTCAAGAGGCTCAGGCAGGAGAATAGCTTGAACCTGGGAGGTAGACATTGCAATGAGTGAGATCCCGCCACTGCACTCCAGTCTGGCGACACAGCGAGACTCCATCTCAAAAAAAAAAAAAAAAAAAAAAAAAAAAATGCCGGGCGCAGTGGCTCAAGCCTATAATCCCAGCACTTTGGGAGGCCGAGGCGGGTGGATCACGAGGTCAAGAGATCGAGACCATCCTGGTCAACATGGTGAAACCCCGTCTCTACTAAAAATACAAAAAATTAGCTGGGTATGGTGGTGCGTGCCTGTAATCCCAGCTACTGAGGAGGCTGAGGCAGGAGAATTGCCTGAACCCAGGAGGCGGAGGTTGCGGTGAGCCGAGATCGCGCCATTGCACAAGAGCGAAACTCTGTCTCAAAAAAAAAAAAAAAAAAAAAATTTATGGACAGGATATTGCCATGTTGGCCAAGGTAGTCTTGAACAATCTTGGCCTCAAGCGATCTTACCCTGCCATGGCCTTGCAAAGTGTTGGGATTACAGGTATGAGCCATGGCACCTGGCCGGCTTAGTCAATTTTATTTATTTATTTATGTATTTATTTATTTATTTGAGACGGAGTTTCGCTCTTGTTACCCAGGCTGGAGTGTGATGGCACGATCTCGGCTCACTGCAACCTCTGCCTCCTGGGTTCAGGCAATTCTCCTGCCTCAGCCTTCTGAGTAGCTGGGATTACAGGCACGCACCACTATGCCCAGCTAATTTTTTGTATTTTTAGTAGAGACGGGGTTTCACCATGTTGACCAGGAGATCTCTTGACCTCGTGATCCAACCGCCTCAGCCTCCCAAAGTGCTGGGATTACAGGCTTGAGCCACCGTGCCCGGCTTATTTATTTACTTATTTATTTATTTGATGAGATGGAGTTTCGCTCTTGTTACCCAGGCTGGAGTGCAATGGCGCGATCTCGGCTCACCGCAACCTTCGCTTCCTGGATTCAAGCAATTCTCCTGCCTCAGCCTCCTGAGTAGCTGGGATTACAGGCATGTGCCACCATGCCCAGCTAATTTTTTGTATTTTTAGTAGAGACGGGGTTTCACCATGTTGACCAGGATGGTCTCGATCTCTTGACCTTGTGATCCGCCTGCCTCAGCCTCCCAAAGTGCTGGGATTACAGGCTTGAGCCACAGCGCCCGGCCTATTTATTTATTTTTTGAGATGGAGTCTTGCTCTGTTGCCCAGGCTGAAGTGCAGTGGTGTGACTTGTCTCACTGCAAACTCCACCTCTTGGGTTCAAGTGATTCTCATGCATTAGCCTCCAAGTAGCTGGGACTATAGGCATTTGCCACCATGCCTGGCTAATTTTTTTATTTTTATTTTTATTTATTTTTTTTTTTTTGAGACGGAGTTTCACCCTTGTTACCCAGGCTGGAGTGCAATGGCACGATCTCGGCTCACCGCAACCTCCGCCTCCTGGGGTCAGGCAATTCTCCTGCCTCAGCCTCCTGAGTAGCTGGGATTACAGGCACGCGCCACCATGCCCAGCTAATGTTTTGCACTTTAAGTAGAGACGGGGTTTCACTATGTTGACCAGGATGGTCTCGATCTCTCGACCTCGTGATCCACCCGCCTCGGCCTCCCAAAGTGCTGGGATTACAGGCTTGAGCCACCGCGCCCGGCGCTAATTTTTTTATTTTTAATAGAGACAGGGTTTCACCATGTAGGCCAGGCTGGTCTCGAACTCCTGATCTCAGGTGATCCACTGGCCTCAGACTCCCACCACTCCCATCCCTTAGTCAATTTTTGACTTTTTGCTTTGGAGTAATGATACTATAAAAGTAATATGAAAAACATGCATGCTTGAATATGCCTGAAAAAAAGAAAAAAGAAAAAAAAACAATTCAGGCATGGTGGCTCACACTTGTAATTCCAGCACTTTGGGAGGCCAAGGCAGGCGGATCATGAGGTCAGGAGATCGGGACCATCCTGGCTAATATGGTGAAACCCTAAGTTACTAAAAAGACAAAAAATTAGTCTGGCATGGTAGTGCGTGCCTGTAATCCCAGCTACTCAGGAGGGTGAGGCAGGAGAATTGCTTGAACCCATGAAGCAGAGGTTGCAATGAGCCAAGATTGCACCACTGCAGTTCAGCGTAGGCGGCAGAGAGAGACTCCATTTTAAAAAATAAAATAAATAAGTAAATAAATAAATAACAATATTTGCTTTGCGGCCAGGCGAGGTGGCTTACATCTGTAATCGCAGCACTTTGGGAGGCTGAGGCAGCCGGATCACCTGAGGTCAGGAGTTTGAGACCAGCCTGGCCAACATGGTGAAACTCCATCTTTACTAAAAATACAAAAATTCCAGTACTTCGCTAGGCTGAGGTAGATGGATCACGAGGTCAGGAGTTCAAGACCAGCCTGGCCAACATAGTGAAATCCTGTCTCTACCAAAAATACAAAAATTAGCCAGGTATGGTGTCATGCACCTGTAGTTTCCAGCTATTTGGGAGGCTGAGACAGGAGTATCACTTCAACACAGGAGGTGGAGGTTATAGTGAGCCAGACAGCACCATTGCACTCCAGCCTGGGCGACAGAGGGAGACTTCATCTCAAAAAGAGAAAAAAAATAACAAAATTATCTAGATGTGGTAGCATATGCCTGGTAGTCTCAGTTACTCAGGAGGCTGAGGCAGGAGAGTCACTTGAACCCAGGAGGTGGAGGTGGCAGTGAGCCGAGATTGTGGCACTGCACTCCAGTCTGGGTGACAGAGTGAGACTCAATCTCCAAAAAAAAAAAAAAAAAGTTTTGGCTAGCTTTGGTGGCTTCACGCCTGTAATCTCAGCACTTTGGGAGACCAAGGAGGGCGGATCACCTGAGGTCAGAAGTTTGAGTCCAGCCTGGCCAAAATCCTATCCCTACTAAAAATACAGAAATTAGTCGGGCGTGGTGGCGAGCATTTGTAATCCCAGCTACTCCAGAGGCTGAGGCTGGAGAATTACTTGAACCCAGTTGGTGAAGGGTGCAGTCAGTGGAGATTTTGCCATTGCACTCCAGCCTGGGCAGTAAGAGTGAAGCTTCCTTCAAAAAAAAAAAAAAGATTTTTTTTTTTTTTTTTTAGGTGGAGTTTCGCTCTTGTTACCCAGGCTGGAGTGCGATGGCGCAATCTCGGCTCACCGCAACCTCCGCCTCCTGGGTTCAGGCAATTCTCCTGCCTCAGCCTCCTGAGTAGCTGGGATTACAGGCACGCACCACCATGCCCAGCTAATTTTTATATTTTTAGTAGAGACGGGGTTTCACCATGTTGACCAGGATGGTCTCAATCTGTCGACCTCGTGATCCACCCGCCTCAGCCTCCCAAAGTGCTGGGATTACAGGCTTTAGCCACCGCGCCCGGCCAAAGATGTTTTTTTTTTAGAGTCGATTTACTCTTGGGGATGATCATAATAAATGTTAAATTTTTTGTTTCTGTTTTGTTTCAGAAAAATCAGAGATGGTGCCAAGTTGCCCCTTTATCTATATCATCCGGAAGGATATAGATGTTTACTCTCAAGTATTGAGAAAACTCTTCAATGAATCTCATGGAATCTTTGTGGGCCTCCAGAGAATTGAAGAAGAATTGACTGGAAAATCCAGAAAATCTCAGTAAGTTGGTTGCTGTTTGGTGTTGAAGCCCAGGCTACCTTGTGAAAAGCCAAATAAAGTACATTGTTGTCTTTTTGTGTGTTTTATGAGTTGCCTTAAGAGACTCCTAATTGTAGTGTGAGGCCATAGTACTGGACAGTGTACATCAGCAGTGATGGGAAGTCTTAGCGGAAATGTACAAATGCTGTTGATTGGCTGGCTTGACAAGCTTTTATATTCCTGTTTTACTTACTCTCTAAAGAAGAAAATTTAGGCCACTGAAGCATGTGAGAGTCATTCAATGAGGTCCCATTGTCGGGAGATTTGAAAATTAACATAAACATAATAGTTTTGTCTCTAAAAAATTACAGTTGAGACGTTATTTGACAATAGACCAGAAAACTCTTGTACTATTTATAGATTAGGATTTTCTTGAATTGTCATTCAAAACCTCATCATTTTTAGCGTGGTACTTGTTTTTTTTTTTTTTTTTTTTTTTTTTTTTGAGACAGAGTTTCGCTCTTGTTATCCAGGCTGGAGTGCAATGGCGCGATCTCGGCTCACCGCAATCTCCGCCTCCTGGGTTCAGGCAATTCTCCTGCCTCAGCCTCCTGAGTAGCTGGGATTACAGGCACGCGCCACCATGCCCAGCTAATTTTTTTAGATTTTTAGTAGAGACGGGGTTTCACCGTGTTGACCAGGATGGTCTCGATCTCTCGACCTAGTGATCCACCCGCCTCCGCCTCCCAAAGTGCTCGGATTACAGGCTTGAGCCACCGCGCCCAGCTGAGTGGTACTTGTTAATTGTAAACTTTTGGGACCCACTTCAGATTATTAAAATCAAAATCTCTAGTCAGATCTTAAAATCTCCAGCACACTGGAGCTTGAGAACTCCTGTGTTAGATTTTTATCAGTGTCCCTTCACGTGGCTGGCACATGGCAGTGTTGGTATATTACTTCCTTGATAAGCTTTTCACAAATGAATCATTCTGGACAGTACCCAGGTCAGGTCAGCTTCTGTGTGAGTGTGTGTGAGAGTGATTATTGTTTTGTTTTGTTTTTTTATTGAACAGATGTTCAACATTCAAAACATATTGTTTTTCTTTGTTTTGTTTTGTTTTTGTTTTTTGAGACAGAGTCTCACTCTGTTACCTAGGCTGGAGTGCAGTGGTACAGTCTCGGCTCACTGCAGCCTCTGCCTCCCAGGTTCAAGTCATTCTACCTCAGCCTGCCGAGTAGCTGGGATTACAGGTGTGTGCCACCACATCTGGCTAATTTTTGCATTTTTAATAGGGATGGGATTTCATCATGTTGGCCAGGCTGGTCTGGTCTTGAACTCCTGACCTCAAGTGATGTATGCCTGCCTCAGCCTCCCAAAGTGCTGGGATTATAGGTGTGAGCCACTGCACCTGGCCTGATTATTGGTTTTAAGGGACTCTGGTGGAAAATACTGGTGAATCTGAGAAATCTATTGTCACTTCTAGAAAAAAAATGTCCAAAAGTCCTGTAATGCCTTGAAGGCAGGAGATCCTGTCTTGTTTTTTTTCGTTTTTTTTTTTTGAGACGGAGTCTCGCTCTGTCACCCAGGTGTAGTGCAATGGCACTATCTCAGCTCACTGCAACCACCACTTCCCAGGTTCAGGTGATTCACCTGCCTCAACTCTCCTGAATAGCTGGGATTACAGGTGCCCTCCACCATACCCAGCTAACTTTTTTTTTTTGAGACAAAGTCTCACTCTGTTTCCCAGGCTAGAGTGCTGTGGCATGATCTCGGCTCACTGAAACCTCTGCCTCCTGGGTTCAAGCAATTCTTCTGTCTCCGCCTCCGGAGTAGCTGGGATTACAGACACATGCCACCACACCCAGCTAATTGGGTTTCACCATGTTGGCCAGGATGGTCTCTATCTCTTGACTTTTTGATCCACCCGCCTCAGCCTTCCGAAGTGCTGGAATTACAGGCATGAGCTACTGCTCCTCGCCAATTTCTGTATTTTTTTTTTTTTTGAGACGGAGTTTCGCTCTTGTTACCCAGGCTGGAGTGCAATGGCACGATCTCGGCTCACCACAACTTCTGCTTCCTGGGTTCAAGCAATTCTCCTGCCTCAGCCTCCTAAGTAGCTGGGATTACAGGCACGCGCCACCATGCCCAGCTAATGATTGTATTTTTAGTAGAGACGGGGTTTCACCATGTTGACCAGAATGGTCTCGATCTCTTGACCTCGTGATCCACCCGCCTCGGCCTCCCAAAGTGCTGGGATTACAGGCTTGAGCCACTGCGCCCGGCCCAATTTTTATATTTTTAGTAGAGACGGAGTTTCAGCAGGTTGGTCAGGCTGGTCTGGAACTCCTAACCTCAGGTGATCCACCTTGCTCCACCTCCCAAAGTTCTGGGATTACAGGCATGAGCCAGTAGACCCAGCCAGTAAATATCTTTATGCATCTTTTTTATTTTTTTGAGACAAGATGTAACCAGTCGATTTCATCTGCAATAGTTAATGTCCGTATGGATTTGTGGATGTTAACTTTAGTCCAGGGGTTGTTTCGTGGTGTTTTATTTTGTTGCTTCAGTTGTTCCAGCTTCGGAAAGGGGCTCCTACACAATGGCTCCCTTCTTTCTTTCAGCAAATTCCTACATTTATTTGAGTGTTTCCTTCCTTTGTGGCACCACAAGATGTTCCGGGCTCATCTTGTGTGTCATTTCATTTTTTGTAGGTTGGTTCGAGTGAGTAAAAACTACCGATCAGTCATAAGAGCGTGTATGGAGGAAATGCACCAGGTTGCAAGTAAGGATTTTGTGTGTGTATGTGTGTGTGCATGTATGTGTATGTGTGTGCAAATGTATATGTGTGTGTGCGGCAGTATTTTAAGTAAATATAAGTAGTGTGAGGTAACGTTGGATTGATCTTCCAGTCCACAATTTACATTTCTGTCTTTCACAATCCTTACTCTTTTGGTAATAATGTTTTGTTTTGTTTTGCTTTGACACAGTTTCACTCTTTTTGTCCAGGCTGGAGTGCAGTGGCATTTCAGCTCACCGCAATCTCTGCCTCCCTGGTTCAAGCGATTCTTCTGCCTCAGCCTCCCGAGTAACTGGGATTACAGGCATGCGCCCCCACACTCAGCTAATTTTGTATTTTTAGTAGAGATGTGATTCCTCCATATTGTTCAGACTGGTCTCAAACTCCTGACCTCAGGTGATCCACCTGCTTTGGCCTCCCCAAAGTGCTGGGATAATAGGCATGAGCCACCACACCCAGCCTTGTTTTTTTCTTTCTTTTCAGATGGAGTCTCACTCTGTCTCCCAGGCTGGAGTGCAGAGGCGCGATCTAGGCTCACTGCCACCTCCACCTTCTGGGTTCAAGCGATTAGCCTCCCAAGTAGCCTTGACCTTCCAAGTAGCTTGGGACTACAGGCACGTGCCACCATGCCCAGCTAATTTTTTGTATTTTTAGTAGAGACTGGGTTTCACCATGTTAGCCAGAATGATCTTGATCTCCTGACTTTGTGATCTGCCTGGCTTGACCTCCCAAAGTGCTGGGATTACAGTGAGTCACTGCGTTCGGCCTGGTAATCATTTTGAAATTTTTTTTTTTGTCTTGAGTCTTGAGTGTCATTGTCGTCCTGGCTAGAGTACTGAGGGGTGATCTCAGCTCACTGCAACCTCCACCTCGCAGGTTCAAATGATTCTCCAGCCTCCTGAATAGCTGGGATTACAGGTGCATACCACCAAACCCAGCTAAGTTTTGTATTTTTAGTAGAGATGGGGTTTCACCATTTTGGCCAGGGTGGTCTTGAACTCCTGGCCTCAAGTGATCCGCCTGCCTTGGCCTCCCAGAGTGCTGGGATTACAGGCATGAGCCACAGTGCCTGGACTTTATTTTTTTTTTTGAGACAAGATTGCCCTGGCTGGAGTGCAAAGACACAATTATGGCTCACTGCAGCCGTGGCCACCTGTCCTCATGTGATCTTCCCACCTAAGCCTCCCAAGTAGTTGGGACTACAGGTGTGCACCACCATGCCCGGCTAATTAAAGAAAAATGTTTTCCCTCTTTTCCTCAGAGATTTTGTTCTGATAATTTTTTTTTTTTTTTTTTTTGAGACGGAGGTTTGCTCTTGTTACCCAGGCTGGAGTGCAATGGCGCGATCTCGGCTCACCGCAACCTCCGCCTCCTGGGTTCAGGCAATTCTCCTGCCTCAGCCTCCTGAGTAGCTGGGATTACAGGCACACGCCACCATGCCCAGCTAATTTTTAGTATTTTTAGTAGAGACGGGGTTTCACTATGTTGACCAGGATGGTCTCGATCTCTTGACCTCGTGATCCACCCGCCTCGGCCTCCCAAAGTGCTGGGATTACAGGCTTGAGCCACCGTGCCCGGCCTGTTCTGATAATTTTTAATTTTTTTTGTAGAGACGTGGTTTACTTAATTTTGCCCAGGCTAGTCTTGAACTCCTGGGCTCAAGCAGTCCTTTCACATGAGCCTCCCAAATGTTGGGATTATAGCTGTGATCCACTGTACTTGGCATGTGAGAGACCTTTATGTTGTCTATGTTACAGTTGAAAGTGCCAGTTGTGCCAGGTGTGGTAGCTCACACCTGTAATCCCAGCATTTTGGGAGGCTGAGGTGGGCAGATCACAAGGTCAGGAGTTTGAGACCAGCCTGACAAACATGGTGAAACCCCGTCTCTACTAAATATAGAAAAATTAGCTGGGCATGTTGGTGTGTTCCTGTAATCACAGCTGCTCAGGAGGCTGAGGCAGGAGAATCCCTTGAACCTGGAAGGTGGAGGTTGCAGTGAGGCAAGACAGGATCACTGCACGCCAGCCTGAGACAGAGGGAGACTCCTTCTTAAAAAAAAATGAAGGAAGTGCCACTTGTAACTTGAGGGCCTTTGGTTTGAGAATTGAAAGGATATGAAGCATCAACAAAAAAAAATGCATGATTAGAAGAAATTATAATTTCTTTTAATTTTTATCATTAAAAGAAACAAAGGTTCAAGCCCTAGATCCTGGAATATTCAGCTGTGACAACAAGCCTGTGCATTCCATTGCTCACTTAAAATGTTTTGTGTTTTGTTAGTTGCTGCTAAAGATCCAGCCAGTGGCCGCCAGTACAGCAGCCAGGTAAGGGGAGTCACTACTGTTGTTTTAGCACCACTGTTTCCTGTGTCTTGGGCACTCACCTGGGGTGGCTTTACAGTTCCTGTTATGGTAGAAGTCTCTTCAGGTAGACAAGCAGCTCCTTTGGGTGACAGTGATCGTCTTGTCCTCTTCAAGGTCTAGCCCACAAGGAAATGCTTGTTAAATACTTGAGTGAATTTTTGGTTCCTTTTTTTTTTCTTTTTTTTTTTTTTGAGACAGAGAGTCTCGCTCTGTCACCCAAGCTGGAGTGCAGTGGCACGAACTCTGCTGACTGCAGCCTCTGCCTCCTAAGTTCAAGCAATTCTCCTGCCTCAACCACCCAAGTAGCTGGGATTACAGGTGTGCGCCACCAAGCCCAGCTAATTTTTGTATTTTTAGTGGAGATGGAGTTTCACTGTTGGCCAGGTTGGTCTTGAACTCCTGACCTCAGATGATCCACCCGCCTTGACCTCCCATAGTGCTGGGATTACAGACATGAGCCACCATGCCAGCCCTGAACGTTCAGTTCTTAGGGAACCTATATGTCCTGACCACATTGTGTTGAGGGGTCGTCACCCAAAATGCAGAGCTGATGTTGTGATATTACTGCTCAGTCTCATAAACACTACTGACTTCTTGAACTCAACATTTTTTTTTTTTTTGAGACAGAGTTTCACTCTTGTTACCCAGGCTGGAGTGCAATGGCGCGATCTCGGCTCACCGCAACCTCCACCTCCTGGGTTCAGGCAATTCTCCTGCTTCAGCCTCCTGAGTAGCTGCGATTACAGGCACGCACCACCATGCCCAGCTAATTTTTTGTATTTTTAGTAGAGACGGGGTTTCACCTTGTTGACCAGGATGGTCTCTATCTCTTGTCCTAGTGATCCACCAGCCTTGGCCTCCCAAAGTGCTGGGATTACAGGCTTGAGCCACCGCACCCGGCAACATTTTTTTTTTTTTTAAGACAGTGTTTTTCTGTGTTGTCAAAGCTGGTCTTGAACTCCTGGACTCAAGTGATCCTCCTGCCTTTGTCTCCCAAAGTGTGGGGATTATAGGTGTGGGCTGCCACACCTTGCCAAACTCAACATTTTTACTGACTTGCAAGTTTCTCTACTTTAGTTGGAAGATGACTACAGTATCTTTTTCCTTAGTAGATGCTTTATGTTAAATACTTTAAAAAGTCAGTAGTGACTAGGCAGTAATTTACTGTCTCTGAAGTATTTTCCCCTTATGAACAAGTCATCATGGTGTCTCTGGACTGAAGGATGGTGGGGAAGGGAAGCCTGCATATTCTAAGGGCAAGGTCCAAGTCTGATTTATTTTGGGGTCTTGTATTGGGCTTTCCCATTAATAGATTATTTCCTAAACTTCAGTACTTGGAATACTAACTTCACAATTCTTGCTCTGCTACATGTTTCGTGTCATCCTCTGAATATTTTTCTAAATCTTGTCTCTTCCTTTTACTCAAATGAAGCCCCTTCCTAAACCATCAATTCATCAAGATTGGCTGGGCGCAGTGGCTCACGCCTGTAATCCCAGCACTTTGGGTGACCAAGGTGGGCAGATCACTTGAAGTAAGGAGTTCGAGACCAGCCTGGCCAATGTGGTGAAACTCTCCTTTTTTTTTTTTTTTTTTTTTTTTTGAGACGGAGTTTCGCTCTTGTTACCCAGGCTGGAGTGCAATGGCGCGATCTCAGCACACCGCAACCTCCGCCTCCTGGGTTCAGGCAATTCTCCTGCCTCAGCCTCCTGAGTAGCTGGGATTACAGGCACGCGCCACCATGCCCAGCTAATTATTTTGTATTTTTAGTAGAGACGGGGTTTCACCATGTTGACCAGGATGGTCTCGATCTCTTGACCTCGTGATCCACCCACCTCGGCCTCCCAAAGTGCTGGGATTACAGGCTTGAGCCACCGCGCCCGGCCTGAAACTCTCCTAAAAATACAAAATTTAGCCAGGTGTGTTGGCGTGTGCCTGTAATCCCAGCTACTTGGGAGACTGAGCCAGGAGAACTGCTTGAATCCTGGAGGCAGAGGTGGTAGTGAGTCATCACACCATGCACTCCAGCCTAGGCGACAGAGCGAGACTCAGTCTTTAAAAAAAGAAAAAAAGAAAAAAGCTGGGCGGGGTGGTTTACCCTTATAATCCCAGCACTTTGGGAGGCTGAGGAGGATGGATCACCTGAGGTCAGGAGTTCAAGACCAGCCTGGCCAACATGGTGAAACCCCATCTCTACTGAAAATACATAAAAAAAATTAGCCAAGTATCGTGGTGGATACCTGTAATCCCAGTTATTAAGGAGGCTGTGGCAGGAGAATTGCTAGAACCCAGGAGGCGAAGGTTGCAGTGAGCCGAGATTGCACCATTGCATTCTTGCCTGGGCAACAAGAGCGAAACTCTGTCTCCCAGCAAAAAAAAAAAAAAAAAAAAATCATTGGTGACATGTGAGTTATATTTTTTTTCTCTTTTTAAATTTTGAGACAGGATCTCACTCTTGCCCAGGCTGGAATGCAGTGGCATGATTACGGCTCACTGCAGACTTAACTTCCTGGACTCAAGTTATCTCCCACCTCAGCCTCCTGAGGAGTTGAGATTACAGAGATATGCCGCTACACTTGGCCAATGTTTGTATTTTTTGTTGTGACAAGATCTTGCCGTGTTGCTCAGGCTGGTCTTGAACTCTTAGACTTTAGTATTCCACCTTCCTTGGCCACCCAAAGTGCTGGGATTACAGGCCTGAGCCACTGTACCTGGCCAAGTTATTTTTGTAATGCATAGTAAAATACAATCACAACCACTAAAACAAAATGTTAGTTTCCATCCCACCACCTAACATCCTTGCACTGGCTTCCCTGTGGGAAATCCTCCTGGAGGATTTCAGTAACTGTAGGGTGAAGGAATAACTGTCAGCAGAGTCAAGGCCTGCTTCATCCCTTGGCTCTGAGAGCAAAGCTCAGGAATGATTTCAGGTGAAACCTGTCTCCATTTCTTCCGTACTTAGGTCTCCATTTTGTCAGCAATGGAGCTCATCTGGAACCTATGTGAGATTCTTTTTATTGAAGTGGCCCCAGGTAAGCATAAAATAATCTTGCCATAACATCAAAGGTGTCCCCTGCCATCTTCTGCTCTTTCCTCACCTTTCCTGTGCATGGTGATGAGTGTTTTATTCCTGAGAATGTTTTTTCCAGTGCTTTTCATCATTATGACCACCTGAAATCGTCAGAAAACTCCCAAAGAAACCCGACATTTTGTCCAAGCAGTATGCAGAGTGCCTCCTAGAAACCTAAAACACTAGGCAGATTACCCCTGACAAGTAGTGAGAAATACTAAACTAGTGTGTGAAAGGAGTGGTCAGTGCATCATGGACTGGCCAAGCTTAAGAAAGTTTTATGGGCCGGGCGCGGTGGCTCAAGCCTGTAATCCCAGCACTTTGGGAGGCCGAGGTGGGTGGATCACAAGGTCAAGAGATCGAGACCATCCTGGTCAACATGGTGAAACCCCGTCTCTACTAAAAATACAAAAAATCAGCTGGGCATGGTGGTGTGTGCCTGTAATCCCAGCTACTCAGGAGGCTGAGGCAGGAGAATTGCCTGAACCCAGGAGGCGGAGGTTGCGGTGAGCCGAGATCGCGCCATTGCACTCCAGCCTGGGTAACAAGAGCGAAACTCCGTCTCAAAAAAAAAAAAAAAAAAAAAAAAGAAAGTTTTATGGATGTGGGATGGGATTAGGTTGTGGGGTGCAAAGTTACGTTGGGAATTCCGTCACTAATAATTGGGATAGGGTAACTCTGTATGTTAACTCTTGACAATGGGAATTTTTCTGTTGATCTTTTTTTTTTTTTTTCTTTTGAGATGGAGTCTTGTTCTGTTGCCCTTGCTGGAGTGCAGTGGCTTGATCTCAGCTCACTGCAACCTCTGCCTCCTGGGTTTAAGCCATTTTGCTGGCTCAGCCTCCCAAGTAGCCAGGATTACAGGCACACCCCACCACACCCGGCTAATTTTTTTTGTACTTTTAGTAGAGATGGGGTTTCACCATGTTGGTCAGGCTGGTCTTGAACTCCTGACTTCAGACGATCTGCCTACCTTGGCCTCCCAAAGGACTGGGATTACAGGCATGAGCCACCGAGCCCCGCCTTCTGTTGATCTTGAATTTAATTTTGGTCAGTATAGTGTTGTGGCCTGAATGAGGTTTCTGTGAATCTGCTGCAGCTTTTTTTGCATTTCTTTTAAGGATTTAATTTTGCTCTTTTCCATAAATGAGTAGTAATCCCAGTGCAGCCCTAGTATTTTACTTATACTCTTGCTAAAGAACTGAGGAACTTAAGGCTGGGCACGGTGGCTCACGCCTCTAATCCCAGCACTTTGGGAGGCTGAGGCGGGTGGATCACGAGATCGGGAGATCAACACTGACCTTGTAGAGAGGAAATTTTGCCATGTTGCCCAGGCTGTTGAACTCTTGAGCAGTCTGCCCACCTTGGCCTTCAAAAATGCTGGGATTATAGGCATGACTCACCATGCCTGGTTTGGCCAATTTTTAAGTTTTTTTGTAGAGATGGGGTCTCCCTGTGTTGCCCAGGCTAGTCTAAAACTCCTGGGCTCAAGCCATCTGCCTGCCTCAGCCTCCCAAAGTGTTGGGATTATAGACAAGAGCCACCTTGCCCGGCCATATGTTTTTTGTTTGTTTTGTGTTTTGAGACAGAGTCTCACTTGTCTCCCAGGCTGGAGTGCAGTGGTGCAATCTCTGCTCACTGCAACCTCTGCCTCACTGGTTCAAGCAATTCTGCTTCAGCCTCCTGAGTAACTTTAATTATAGGCATGCAGCATGACACTCGGCTAATTTTTATATTTTTAGTAGAGACGGTTTCACCATGTTGGCCAGGCTGATCTCGAACTCCTCAGCTCAAATGATCCACCCGCCTTAGCCTCCCAAGTGCTAGCATTACAGGTGTGTGCCCCCAGGCCCCCGGCCATATGTTTTTATCATCATTGTATACCTAGCTGTTTGCTAGTCAGTATTAGTTCCTAAACAGCCTTTACTTGTGTAGCCATTGAGTATTTGGGAAGAATCTGGAGTGTGGGGTGGTGAGGTCTGCATTCCATGTTCACCCCTTTCTGGGGTCAAAGTTTGAGCTGCCTGGCACAGAGGGAGTATTTGGTGAAAGTGCATTTGCTTTTTTCTAGCATAGTCCTTCATTCAGGACCACGTGTGTGACTGCTTAAAGGGGATAAACCTATGTAGTCAGCTTGTCTGCCTTAACGTTCTCTGTTCTTTGGATAAAGTGGAACTTGCTGCAGATGAAGCTGAGGCTTTTGTGTGTGATGAGAGTCTCTCCTCCCAGCTGGCCCTCTCCTCCTCCACCTCCTTGACTGGGTCCGGCTCCACGTGTGCGAGGTGGACAGTTTGTCGGCGGATGTTCTGGGCAGTGAGAATCCAAGCAAACACGAGAGCTTCTGGAACTTGGTAAGGCAGGCTGAGCCGCCACCTCCCACCGTGTGTCCTCCTGTCCCTGGTCCTGTTGGGTGGGTCTGAGGACACCCACCGAGCCTCCAACAGTAGGCTGGCTTTTGGAGTCTGTTACTATGGAGACTCTCTAAAATTTTTTCTTCCCTGCTCTATGGGAGAGTCTAAAACTGAGGTACCGTATAAGAAAAATAAGGCTTTGAAGACTTTCCAGGGTAAAAGGAAATTTGATTTATTTGTGGATCTAAGAGAACACACAAAAAGTAATACAAAAGTTTTTTTTTTTTTTGGAAACAGGATCTTGGCTGGGTGCAGTGGCTCATGCCTGTAATTGCAGCCAGCACTTTGGGAGGCCAAGTCAGGAATCACATGAGCCCAAGAGTTTGAATTAGCCTGGGTAGTAAAGTGAGACCCCCATCTCAAAATAAATAACAGTATGAAAGAAAAAACAGTCTCTGTTGCCCAGGCTGTTGTGTAGTGCTGTGATCTTTCTCACTGCAACCTCTGCCTCCTGTGTGGTCCTACCACCTCAGCTTCCCAAGTAGCTGGGACCACAGGTGCAAGCCATCATGCCTGGCTAATCATAGAAAACCAGTTGATAGGGGCTGGGGTGCATGGCGGGGGCGGGGGGGGGGCTTTTGATGTAAATGAGCTTGCAGGTTACTTTGGATTGTCAGTTTGGAAGTCGCCATGTGGTATATGTGTATATGGATATATTATCTATGTGTTAGTTATTTCCATTCACCTTTGCTTACTTACCCAATTGGAAGGTAGCAAGGAGGAGATTACTAGTTGACTGGGTAATGGAAGATTGACTAAACTTAGAAAACCTGAAATTGGGGACCAGGCGTGGTGGCTCATGCCTCTAATCCCAGCACTTTGGGAGGCTGAGGCGGGTGGATCACCTGAGATCGGGAGTTCCAGACCAGCCTGACCAACATGGTGAAACCCTGTCTCTACCAAATTCAAAAAATTAGCCGGGTGTGGTGGCGCATGCCTGTAATTCCAGCTACTCGGGAGGCTGAGGCAAAAGAATCACTTGAATCCCGGATGGGGAGGTTGCGGTGAGCTGAGATCATGCCATTGCACTCCAGATTGGGCAACAAGAATGAAACTCTGTCTCCAAAAAAAAAAAAAAAATTAGCTGGGCATGGTGGCACATGCCTGTAGTCCCAGCTCCTTGGGAGGCTGAGGCAGGAGAATCACTTGAATCTGGGAGGGGTATGTTGCAGTGAGCTGAGGTCATGCCACTGCACTCCAGCCGGGTGTCAGAGCGAGACTCCATCTCAAGAAAAACAAAACAAAAAAAACCCTGAAATCGGGAACGGATTGTGAGGACGAAAAGAAAAGAAAACCTGGAATTCAAGTAAGGAGTTGTTACCTTTGGGGCTGTTTCTAGGCCTTATAATGCTGGGACATAAGTGCAGGTAAGGGGAGTGCCTTCATTCAGGAAGTATTGGGCCAAATGTTTGACTTTGATTGGTTTGCTAAGGTTTGTTGTTGTTTAGAGACAGGGTCTCACTTGTGCCCTGGGCTGGAGTGCAGTGGTTTGATCACAGCACATTGCAGCTTTGATTTCCTGGGCTCAAGTGATCCTCACACCTCAGCCTCCTGAGTGGTTGGGAGTACAGGCACACACCACCATGCCTGGCTAGTTTTATTTTTTGTAGAGATGAGGTCTCACTATATTACCCAGCCTGGTCTTGAACTCCTAGGCTCAAGCAGTCCTCCCACCTTGGCCTCCCTAAGTGTTGGGATTGTAAGTGTGAGCCACCATGCTTGGTCATTCACTGAGTATTTATTGAGTCCTTGACAAGGCACCAAGGAGACAACCATGACTAAAACAGACAAAGATTCCTGCCTTTATGGAGTTTATATCCTGTGTCTGGAGACAGAACAGCAACATATAGGCCAGTACTATGCATCCTGGCACATAGTGAAGTACTCTGGCAAGGAGCCAAGAAGGGAGGGGAGGCTTCGAGTGCTGGAGGGGCATCAAAGAAGGCTTCCCTCATGAGGGATTTGAGGTGAGACCTGAAGGAGGTGAGGAGAACTAGGCTGAAGAAAGCATTCCAGGCCAGGCGTGGTGGCTCACACCTGTAATCCAAGCACTTTGGAAGCCAAGACAGGTGGATCCACCTGAGGTTGGAAGTTTAAGACCAGACTGACGTACATGGTGAAATTCTGTCTTTATATTAAAAAAAAAAAAAAAAAAAAAAAAGGGCCGGGCGCGGTGGCTCAAACCTGTAATCTCAGCACTTTGGGAGGCCGAGGTGAGTGGATCATGAGGTCGAGAGATCGAGACCATCCTGGTCAACATGGTGAAACCCCATCTCTACTAAAAAAAAATACAAAAGATTAGCTGGGCATGGTGGTGCATGCCTGTAATCCCGGCTACTCAGGAGGCTGGGGCAGGAGAATTGCCTGAACCCAGGAGGCGGAGGTTGCAGTGAGCCGAGATCGCACCATTGCACTCCAGCCTGGGTAACAAGAGTGAAACTCCGTCTCAAAAAAAAAAAAAAGAGGCCGGGCGCGGTGGCTCAAGCCTGTAATCCCAGCACTTTGGGAGGCTGAGGCGGGTGGATCACGAAGTCAAGAGATCGAGACCATCCTGGTCAACATGGTGAAACCCCGTCGCTACTAAAAATACAAAAAATTAGCTGGGCATGGTGGCGTGTGCCTGTAATCCTAGCTACTCAGGAGGCTGAGGCAGGAGAATTGCCTGAACCCAGGAGGCGGAGGTTGCGGTGAGCCGAGATCGCGCCGTTGCACTCCAGCCTGGGTAACAAGCGAAACTCCGTCTCAAAAAAAAAAAAAAAAAAAAAAAAAAGAAAGCATTCCAGTTAGCAAGGCCTGCAGATGCTGTGTTGTAGAGGCAGGGTGGAGCAGGGAGGCTGTGCTGGGTCCTATGAGCTGGGTAGGAGGTAGTAGGGATGAGTTGAGGAGATAAAGACAGAGAGATATCTGGCCAGGTGTGAGAGAGCCCCCTGGGCTGTCACCGAGACTTTAGCTTTTTGCAGCCTGCATAGCAGGGTGGCTAACATGGTCTGTGGTGCCACACCGTCTGGGTTAACATTCCAGCTCTGCCTTTTACTAGCTGTAAAGTTTGTTTGTTTTTTTTGGGCACAGAGTCCACTTTGTTGCCCAGGCTGGAGTGCAGTGGCATGGTCTTGGCTGACAGCAACCTCTGCCTCCAGGGTTCAAACAATTCTGCCTCAGCCTCCCAAGTAGCTGGGACTACAGGCACAGCACTCCATGACCAACTAATTTTTTTTATTTTTAGTAGAGACAGGGTTTCACCATGTTGGCCAGACTGGTCTTTAACTCCTGAACTCAAGTGATCTTCCTGCCTTGGCCACACCCCCAAATTATTTTTATTTTTATTTATTTAATTTGTGAGGTAGAGTCTCACTTTGTTGCCCAGGCTGGAGTGCCGTGGCACGATCTTGGCTCACTGCAACCTCTGCCTCTCAGGTTCAAGTGATTCTCCATCTCAGCCTCCCGAGTAGCTGGGATAACAGGTGCCTGCCATCTTGCCTGGCTAATTTTTGTATTTTTAGCAGAGATAGGGTTTTGTCATGTTGGCCAGGCTAGTCTGGAACTCCTGACCTCAGGAGATTCGCCTGCTTCGGCCTCCCAAAGTGCTGGGATTACAAGCCTGAGCCACTACACCCAACCTAATTTTTTTATTTTTTGAACTCCTGGGTTCAAGCAGTCCTCCTGCCTTGGCGTTCCAATGTGTTGGAACACTGTGCCGGCCACTAACTGTGAGATATTGAGTGAGCTACTTAAGGGCTTTAAGTGTCCTTATCTGTCCAGTGGAGATAATACCCGTCCCATGGGGCTGTTGTGATCATTAGTTAAGGGACATAAATGTGGGTGAAGTAGTTAACATGGTTGATACACAGTAAAAGCTAGTCTTTTACTTCTTTTTTTTTTTTTTGAGATGGAGTCTAGCTCTGGCTAGACTGCATGGCTGGCGTGCAGTGGTGCCATTTTGGCTCACTGCAACCTCTACCTCCCAGGCTTAAGTGATTCTCCCGCCTAAGCTTCCTGAGTAGATGGGATTACAGGCGCCTGCCACCATGCCCAGCTAATTTTTGTGTAGAGAGGGGGTTTCACTGTGTTGGCCAGGCTGGTCTCAAACTCCTGACCTCGTGATCTGCACGCGTAGGCCTCCCAAAGTGCTGGGATTACAAGCATGAGCCCCCGAGCCGGGCCTTTTTTTTTTTTCTTTTCTCGCCATATTGGCCAGGCGGGTCTCGAACTCCTGACCTCGTTTTTTTTTTTTTTTTTTTAAAGATGGGGTTTCTTTTTTTCTTTTTTCTTTTTTTTTTTTTTGAGACGGAGTTTCGCTCTTGTTACCCAGGCTGGAGTGCAATGGCGCAATCTCGGCTCACCGCAAACTCCTCCACCTGGGCTCAGGCAATTCTCCTGCCTCAGCTTCCTGAGTAGCTGGGATTACAGGCACGTGCCACCATGCCCAGCTAATTTTTTGCACTTTTAGTAGAGACGGGGTTTCACCATGTTGACCAGGGTGGTCTCGATCTCTCGACCTCGTGATCCACCCGCCTCGGCCTCCCAAAGTGCTGGTATTACAGGCTTGAGCCACCACGCCCGGCTAAAGACGGGGTTTCACCAAGTTGGTCAGGCTGGTTTTGAACTCCCAACCTCGGGTGATCTGCCTGCCTTTGCCTCCAAAGTACTTGGATTACAGGCGTGAGCCACTACGCCTGGCCCTCTTTTTTTTTTTTTTTTTTTTTTGACAGTTTTGCTCTTGTTGCCCAGGCTGGAGTACAATGGCGTGATCTTGGCTCACTGCAACCTCCACCTCCTGGGTTCGAGCGATTCTTCTGCCTCAGCCTTTCAAGTTGCTGGAATTACAGGCACGCGCCACTATGCCGCATATTTTGTATTTTTAGTAGAGATGGGGTTTCTCCATGTCGGTCAGGCTGGTCTCGAACTCCTGACCTCAGGTGATCCACCCGCCGCTGCCTCCCAGAGTGCGGGGATTACAGGTGTCAGCCACCATGCCAGGCTGCTAATCTTTTACTTCTAAACCAGATGGGTGAGGGGACATTGGAGAGCTGAACAAAGGAATTCCGGGATGTTACTTAGGTTCCCAAAGGCTGTCCTGGCTGCCGTGTTGAGAATATAGTGAGGATGGGAACAGGCCAGTCTGGATACTGCTGTACTAAGCCAGGCAAAAGATGGTGGTGGTGGAGGGTAGATAAGTTTGAAGAGAGTTTATGGTTTGCTGATGGATTGATTTGATGTGGGCATGCAAGAAATAGACGAATGTGGGAAGATGAGGTTGGTGAGTTGGAGGCAAACTGGTGTTTAATTTTAGACATGTTAATGTTTCTCTGTCGTGTGTTTATTTTTTTGAGACAGAGCCTCTTGCCCAGGCTGGAATGCAGTGGTTGGATCACAGCCCAGTGCAGCCTTGACCTTCTAGGCTCAGGTGATCCCTCCAACTCAGCCTTCCAAGTCACTAGGACTACAAAGGCGTGCCATCATGCCTGGCTATTTTTTTTTTTTTTTTTTTTTTTTTTTTGAGATGGAGTTTCGCTCTTGTTACCCAGGCTGGAGTGCAATGGCGCGATCTCGGCTCACCGCAACCTCTGCCTCCTGGGTTCAGGCAATTCTCCTGCCTCAGCCTCTTGAGTAGCTGGGATTACAGACACGTGCCACCATGCCCAGCTAATTTTTTTTTGTATTTTTAGTAGAGACTGGGTTTCACCATGTTGACCAGGATGGTCTCGATCTCTTGACCTCGTGATCCACCCGCCCTGGCCTCCCAAAGTGCTGGGATTACAGGCTTGAGCCACCGCGCCCGGCCCCTTAATTTTTGTATTTTTAATGAGACAGGGTTTTGCCATGTTGTTCAGGCTGGTCCCAAACTCTTAAGCTCAAGCTACTTGGGAAGCTGAGGCAGGAAGATCACTTGAACCCAGGACACAGAGGTTGCAGTGGATGAAGATCATGCCAATGCACTAGAGCCTGGCAACAGAGTAAGACTCCATCTCAAAAAAAAAAAAAAAGCCTATTTGAGATCCAAGTGGAGATGTTGACTAAGTACATGGATATATAAGGCTGGAATTCAGAGAAGGAAGTTTGGGCTAGAGAGGAAAAGTTGGGAGTTACCAGTATGTGTATGTATATATACTTGTGATTTTTTTTTTTTTTTTTTTTTTTTTTTGGAACAGACTTTTGCTGTTGCCCAGGCTGGAGTGCAGTGGCACAGCCTCAGCTTACTGCAACTGATACCTCCTGGGTTCAAGTGATTCTCCTGCCTCAACTTCCCAAGTAGCTAGGATTACAGGTTCCCACCACCATGTCCAGCTAAATTTTTTTGTAGTATTGGTAGAGACAGGGTTTCACGATGTTGGCCAGGGTGGTCTCAAACTGCTGATTTTAGGTGATCTGCCTGCCTTGGCTTCCCAGAGTGCTGGGATTATAGGCGTGAGCCACTATGCCTGGCCTATTTGTGATTTTTTTTTTTCTTTTTTTTTTAGTGTGGTTTGTAGTAAAAATTGTACTTTGTATATTTTACATATATATGTGTATAAATATATATGTATATATTTATACATATATATGTATACATATGTATATGTGTATACGTGTATATACACACACATATGTAAAAATATACAAAGTATAATAGATATAGCCTGTACAACTATATATATATATAGTTGTATAGGTGATTGTTTTATTTGTGGTAGTTACGGCTTATGAAGTTGCCTTAAATACTGAATTATAGAACATTGAACTATCGTTCCTAGGGGAATACAGGATTAGGTTTCTGCAAGCCTCTGGTCACATTTTGTTCCACCAGTCAACATATAACCGATCACTTGTTTTATGTGTGTATCTGTTCAGAGACAACTTATTTGACATGTATTGTTGATTCATTAACAATGAACTCAGGGCCAACAGCACTATAATTAGTGCTTGAATGAAGCTTACATAACACCTCCCATAGTTCTTGCACTTAGCAACACTAGAAAGCACTTCGGTATTACATTTGGGGGTCCAACAATATGTGCAGAAATGAAAAAAATGGGCCGGGCGCGGTGGCTCAAGCCTGTAATCCCAGCACTTTGGGAGGCCGAGGCGGGTGGATCACAAGGTCAAGAGATCAAGACCATCCTGGTCAACATGGTGAAACCCCGTCTCTACTAAAAATACTAAAAATTAGCTGGGCATGGTGGCGTGTGCCTGTAATCCCAGCTACTCAGGAGGCTGAGGCAGGAGAATTGCCTGAACCCAGGAGGCGGAGGTTGCGGTGAGCCGAGATCACGCCATTGCACTCCAGCCTGGGCAACAAGAGCGAAACTCCGTCTCAAAAAAAAAAAAAAAAAAAAAAGAAATGAAAAAAATGTGGCACTAACTGCATCACGATAAAGCTTTGTTTAGTGTGTATCAAGCAACTCAAAATTCTTGCAACTCTACATGTCTGCAAATTTTTATTTGAAAGTACCCACAAATATTGATTTGGGGGTTACAAATAAAAGAGGCAAATTTATAGATAAAGACTCAATAGTGCTGGGTGTGTTGGCTCATCCCTATAATCCCAGCACTTTGGGAGGCCAAGGTGGGTGGATCACCTCAGGTCGGGAATTCGAGACCAGCCTGACCAACATGGAGAAAAGCACAAAATTAACTGGGCGTGGTGGCACATGCCTGTAATCTCAGCTTCTTGGGAGGCTGAGGTAGGAGAATCACTTGAACCCTGGAGGCGGAGGTGTCCGTGAGCTAAGATCATGCCATTGCACTCCAGCCTGGGCAACAAGAGCTAAACTCCATCTCAAAAACAAAAACAAAAACAAAAACCCGACTGAACAATGAGGACTGTTTGCATTGAGTGTATTTATTTAGTCATACATATTTATATTTGAACTGAAACTTTTATGAACCATTTTATTTAATGCATTGATTTTTTTACTTCATTTTAATTTTTTTCAAACAAAACTTGTCACATATTTATTATTGAACCAACCTGGCAGTGCAGAGCTTGTAATCGAGAAAAACCACTTTTTCAACAAAATATGTCCACCTCTCCAAATAGTGGTGACAGTTTCAGTTTGCTGTGATGATAGTCTTATGTGCCGAATCTCATGTGTAATTCCTGATGGACCCAGCTTGGTTCTTCTTCAGTCTCTCCTCTTGGAGTTGTAGCTAATTGTATTACCCGTTTTTTTTTTGCTTTGTTTTGTTTTGAGACGGAGTCTCATTCTGTTGCCCAGGCTGGAGTGCAGTGGCTTTATCTCTGCCTCCTGGGTTCAAATGATTCTCCTGCCTCAGCCTCCCGAGTAGCTGAGACTATGGACAGGCAAGTGCCACCATGCCTGGCTAATTTTTTTGTATTTTTAGTAGAGATGGGGTTTCACCATATTAACCAGGATAGTCTCAACTTCTTACCTCGTGATCTACCCGCCTCAGCCTCCCAAAGTGCTGGGATTACAGGTGTGAGCCACCATGCCTCGCCCTGTATTATCAGTTTTAATCTGACTTCACTGGATAATGGGACGATTTTGCTGTTGTTTCTTGGCCAGGAATTGCATGATCCTGAAAGTTTTTTGAGAAGACTGTGGGAGAAATAATCAACAGTACACACCATGATAATGGAGAAGGGGTGAGGGGAAGCGAATAGAGGAACATGTTTTTCTGTTTTGTTTTGTGGGTTTTTTGTTTTGTTTTGTTTTGTTTTGTTTTGAGACGGAGTTTCGCTCTTGTTACCCAGGCTGGAGTGCAATGGCGCGATCTCGGCTCACTGCAACCTCTGCCTCCTGGGTTCAGGCGATTCTCCTGCCTCAGCCTCCTGAGAAGCTGGGATTATAGGCACGCGCCACCATGCCCAGCTGATTTTTTGTATTTTTTTTTTTTTTTTTAGTAGAGACGGGGTTTCACCATGTTGACCAGGATGGTCTCGATCTCTTGACCTCATGATCCACCCGCCTCGGCCTCCCAAAGTGCTGGGATTACAGGCTTGAGCCACCGCGCCCGGCCGTTTTTTTTTTTTTTTTTTTTTTTTTGAGACAGAGTCTTGCTCTGTTGCCCAGGCTAGAGCACAGGGGTGCAATCTCGGCTCACTACAACCTCCGCCTCCCAGGTTCAAGCAGTTCTCTGCCTCAGCCTCCCAAGTAGGTGGGACAACAGGTGCCCATCACCAGACCAGTCTAATTTTTTTGTATTTTTAGTAGAGACAGAGTTTTACCATATTGGCCAGGTTGGTCTCAAACTCCTGACTTTGTGATCTGCCCACCTCAGCCTCCCAAAATGCTGGGATTACCGGCATGAGCTGCCACACCTGGCCTGTTTTATTTATTTTTAAAAAGCTGGTCACAGAGTATAATGGACTACTGCTGGCTGTTTGAAAAACGTGGTGAACGTGGTAAAGCCTTGAAATTGGATGTGATAGATTACTTCTAGAAAGAAAGAGCCTCATTCTTTCCAGGGCAGACTCAGGCACAAAGAAGCTTATGTCAGGAGTTAGACAGCCAAAGTGTGGAGTGAAGGGACTGGCCTCATGCCTCGGCAGGGCCAGGCCTCATGCCAGTGCTCATGGGCCCTGATCTCCTCCCAGGTGACCATCTTGGTGCTGCAGGGCCGGCTGGATGAGGCCCGACAGATGCTCTCCAAGGAAGCCGACACCAGCCCCGCCTCTGCAGGCATGTGCCGGATCATGGGGGAACTGATGAGGACAATGCCCATTCTCAGCGTACGTGGGGGCACTCTGCTGTTCTGGGTCCCAGGAGATGGGTGAGTCACTATAAATGTAAAGGGTTTGAGTGAGATGACGCCTCATGGCTGGTCTCTCTCCTTAGCCTGGGAACACCCAGACACTGACGGAGCTGGAGCTGAAGTGGCAGCACTGGCACGAGGAGTGTGAGCGGTACCTCCAGGACTGCACATTTGCCAGCAACCCTCACCTAGAGTCGCTCTGCAAGGTATGGGAGGCAGTTCAGGTTGCATCCACATTGGCTTTTTGTGGGGGCTGTGGCATCCAGTGCTGCAATGGCAAGAGCTTGGTCCTCCTTGGATAGGGCTGTCCATCGCTCTGCCATGATGGCGAGAGCTTTCAGACTAGTTAAAATCCAGTACCTTAGCTGAGAGCAGGAACATTATGAATAAGTTGCCCCTGAGAGCAGGACAGAGTTCAGCACAAATGTCTCTCTCCTCAGATCATGCTGGGAGATGAAGCTGCCTTGTTAGAGCAGAAGGAGCTTCTGAGTAACTGGTACCATTTCCTAGTGACTCGGCTCTTGTACTCTAATCCCACAGTAAAACCCATTGATCTGCAGTACTACGCCCAGGTGAGTGAGCTCTGAGTGGGCAAGGGGGGTGGGTAGGAGTCCTGGTGGCACCCTGATGGGTCATTCTCTTTTAATTCCTCTCTGAGGAACAGGAAGACCCTTTCCTTTGGCCCTTAATGAAAGAACACGGCACTGTTCTCTAGGTTTTCTTATACAGAAGCCCTACCTATTCCCTGAGTCTGTGTTTCCATCCTCGGGACTGAGTGTCTCATCACCTTTCCACAGTCCAGCCTAGACCTGTTTCTGGGAGGCGAGAGCAGCCCAGAACCCCTGGACAACATCTTGATGGCGGCCTTTGAGTTTGACATCCATCAAGTGATAAAAGAATGCAGGTAGGGTCTCCCCGCTACACTGTAACCATTTTTAGTTGTACACATATATATCACCACTATCTATTTCTAGAGTGGCCTGTTCCTTCCTTACCTTTTTTCCCTCAGACCTGCTATCTTAGTCCATCTCACGTTGCTCTTGAAGAATACCTGAGACCAGGTCATTTATAAAGAAAAAGATTATTTTCTCACAGTTCTGGAGGCTTGAAGTCCAAGGTCAAGGCATTGGCACTGTTGCTTGCTGGTGAGGGCTGCTCTCTGTTTCCAAGACGGCACCTGGAACACTGTGTTCTCTGTCATGTGGTGTTAGGACAAAAAGGGAACAAACTCCCTTCATCAAGTCCCTTTGTAAGGGCACCCAATCTCATTCATGAGGGAGGAGTCCTCCTGGCCTAATTACTTCTTAGAGTTCCTCCCTCTTAACAGTATCACATTGGCAAAACGGGTTTTAGACGGGATCCCTTCAAACCATAGAACCTGCTCCCTTGCTTGGCCTGACACAGGTAGATAATGGCTTCTCTCTGGATGAGCTTGGGGACTTTCTGGAGGCTTGAGGGCTACCATATATGTAACTGTTCCATTTCAGGGATGTTTATTTAAAGTAACATTGCAGGAGGGCCGGGCGTGGTGGCTCAAGCCTGTAATCCCAGCACTTTAGGAGGCTGAGGCGGGTGGATCACGAGGTCAAGAGATCGAGACCATCCTGGTCAACATGGTGAAACCCCGTCTCTACTAAAAATACAAAAAAATTAGCTGGGCATGGTGGCACATGCCTGTAATCCCAGCTACTCAGGAGGCTGAGGCAGGAGAATTGCCTGAACCCAGGAGGCGGAGGTTGTGGTGAGCCGAGATCGCGCCATTGCACTCCAGCCTGGTAACAAGAGCGAAACTCCATCTCAAAAAAAAAAAAAAAAAAAAAAAAAAATTGCAGGAAATTACTTTGACATTTAAAATCTAGAAAAAGCCAGCAAGCCTGTTTCTTGACGACTAATGGACACATAGTCACCTTATGGGATGGCATGTTCCAACAGTCTCACTCCAGTGATGTGAGCTACCCGAACCATCAGGCTTGAGGATAGGTATCATTCAGAATTTCCAGCCCTCTCTCCAAAAGAGGGTGTTCTATCATTGCACTGAATCTTAAACAAGGCAGGAAAGGGTGTGTCAAACATAATGAATTAAAGGTAGAGCTTTCCAGAACTCTCCATATATGGTAAGTCAGAAAGAATATCTCCTTCCTTCTTGTGTACCCTGGATGGTGGGCAGTGCACTGAAGACTGCTGGGAAGGAGGGAAGTGGGTAATGCAGAAGACAGCCTTGATCAGATGTCAGATTCACCGACCTCAACTGGCTCTTTGTAAATCTGGGCATGGAAAGAGTTTCCTTCGCCCTATCTGGTCTTCTTGTTTTATGCAAAAGAAAGCCAGGACTTTGAGAAAATGATATTAGATTTGGGGAATAAAAAACAAGTTTTTTGTGTGTGTTTCTGGGGTTTTTTTGTTGTTTTTTTGAGATGGAGTTTTGTTCTTTTCACCCAGGCTGGAGTGCAATGGCGCAATCTTGGCTTACTGCAACCTCTGCCTCCTGGGTTCGGCCTCAGCCTTCCAAGTAGCTGGGATTACAGGTGTCCATCACCATGCCCAGTTATAATTTGCATTTTTCAATAGAGACAGGGTTTCACCATGTTGGCCAGGCTGGTCTGCAACTCCTGACCTCAGGTGATCTGTCCACCTTGGCCTCCCAAAGTGCTGGGTTAACAGGTGTAAGCCATCACGTCCTGCCAAGTTTTTTGTTTTGTTTGAGAAAGAGTCACTTTGTCACCCAGGCTGGAGAGCAGTGGAGTGATCTTGGCTCCACTGGATCTGCAGCCTCGACCTCCTGGGTTCAAGCGATCCTCTTGCCTCACCCTCCCATGTAGCTGGGACTGTAGGCTGCTGGATACTGGATCCCTTTGGGAAGACAGCGGGTGCTGTCTCAGGCCTGCCTTCCACTTGCAGGTAGCTTTTGTGCAGGCTGAGGCTTTGGCTCCCTTAGCTTGAGTCCCCTATAGCCTTTTCACGGGCTTTTCTAATAGTTTCCCCGTTAGAAATTTGGGTCGCAACAGCTGTTTTGGGAAGCTGAGGTGTCCTTTTCCCTGACCCAGCTGACTCCTTCCCATTTTTTCCTGGCTTTATTGAGGTGTGATTAACAAATAAAGTATTATATATTTAAGGTGTACAACTTTTTTTCAGACAGCCTCGCCCTGTCACTTGGGCTGGAGTGCAGTGATGTAATCTTGGCTCATTGCAACCTCCGCCTCCTGAGCTCAAGCAATCCTTCAGCCTCAGCCTCCTGAGTAGCTGGAACCATAGGCACGCACCACCATGCCCAGCTAATTTTTGTATTTTTGGTGGAGACAGGGTTTTGCCATGTTGGCCAGGTTGGTCTCAAACTCCTAAGCCAAGTGATCCACCTGCCTCAGTCTCCCAAAGTGTTAGGAGTACAGGCAGGAGCCACCCGGTGCCTGGGCAAGGTTTACAACATGTTTTGATAGACATGTTTGATAGACACTGTGAAATTAAGCTAGTGAGCACACCTGTCACCTCACAAATTGACCCTTTTCATGTGGTGAGAACATTTAAAAGCTATTTTCTAGCTGGGTGTGGCAGCGCATGCCTGTAATCTCATCTACTCGCAAGGCAGAGGCATGAGAATTACTTGAAACTGGGAGGCAGAAGTTGCAGTAAGCCGAGATCTCGCCACTGCACTTCAGCCTAGGTGACAGAGCAAGATTCTGTCTCAAAAAATTAAAGAAACCAAACTACTTTCTGAGCATTTTTATTTTTGGAGATATGTTTGTTCTCTCTAACCCAATTTGGAGTGCAGTGGTGTGATCTCGGCTCACTGTAGCCTCTGCTTCCCAGGCTCAAGCAGTCCTCCCATCTCAGCTTCTCAAGTAGCTGGGAGTGCAGGTATGTGCCACCACACCTGGCTAACTTTTATATTTTTTGTAGAGATGGGGGTTTTGCCATGTTCCCCAGATTGATCTTGATCTCCTGGGCTCAAGTGATCTGCCTGCCTTGGCCTCCCAAAGTACTAGGATCATAGGCATGAGCTACCATCACGCCTGGCCCCATCTCTTAGAGGGACAGGACATGTGGGGTTATTCTCACCCCAACTCTTTTGAGATGCCACCTCTGGCCTGACTTTCCTTCTTGCCTTGGTGTCTGAATCTGCAGCATCGCCCTGAGCAACTGGTGGTTTGTGGCCCACCTGACAGACCTGCTGGACCACTGCAAGCTCCTCCAGTCACACAACCTCTAGTAAGTGGACTGGAGGCGCCAATCCTCCTTTTCTCATCACCAGTGCCTAGAAGGGAGGTTGGGCTGAGGAAGGGGGCCCTGAACAGGGCAGGCCAGGAGTCTTGGTCTTTTGTTACATTTTATTCCAGTTTTGGTTCCAACATGAGAGAGTTCCTCCTGCTGGAGTACGCCTCGGGGCTATTCGCTCATCCCAGGTAGGAAGGAACCCAGGTAGGAAGGGTGTGTGCTGTGCTGGGTGCTCTTCAGCATGTGGGTGTCATTGGAGCTTGGACTATTCTCTCTTAGTTGGCTCCCTAAAGGCTCTGGAAGGGTCAGTGGAGGGGAGCCTCAGGTGCCAGTCCCCAGAGCCACAAAGCAGCACCTCATGTCTGTCCTCCTTGCACCTCTGCAGCCTGTGGCAGCTGGGGGTGGATTACTTTGATTACTGCCCTGAGCTGGGCCGAGTCTCCCTGGAGTTACACATTGAGCGGATACCTCTGAACACTGAGCAGAAAGCCCTGAAGGTGCTGCGGATCTGTGAGCAGCGGCAGATGACTGAACAAGGTGAGCTGGCCCCACTCCCAGCCTAGTGTGTGGGACACAGAAGTCAGGAGACCCTGAGGTCATACTTTGTGCCTACCCTGCCTACCCCACGCCATCCCCGTCTTCCCCAGCCACATGGGAGAGGTGGAGCTATGGATGCCAAGAGGTAAGCTGAGAGATGGGATCATTATTTGGGAAGGACAAGAAAGCTAGGGATCCACTGGAACCCAGACAAAATCTACATGCCACCTGCAAAGGCCTGAGCTTCCTCTTCTCTCACACACTTGATTCCACGACGTCAAGGCTGGGGTTGGGGGCTGTTTCCCCGTCCAGGTGGGTTGCTATTGCTAGCTCAGCCTGACTCATTGGGGAAGCAGTGCTGGAGGTGGCTTCAGAAAAGCAGAGAGAGTGGAATGAGGATGACCAAGTCTGTCTCTTCCTTTCTCCCCTCACTTTTGATAAAAACATGAGTTATTACCCTACAGTTATTACCCAACTGCCTAGAGAGGCAGTTGCATGTTCACGACGATTTCTGAAAGCATATGGTATTCATGACCCACAGGAAGATGGGATTTGAGGCATTTGGAGAGGTAACGGAAGAGCTGACTTGTAGAGAGAAACAGAAATCCTCCTTTGCTGCCCCTGAAGCCACACACACTCACAGAGCCAGTCCTGCCATGATGGCCACTGACACTATTAATCAGCCCCAAAGTTTCCAGCTCTGCTGACTCAGCTGTGTTTACAGCCCATAGAGAGGCTTTGGGGTGGAGTGAGGCTGTGAGGCCACTCCAGTTCCCACAGGGCTCAGGAATGGATTTGTGGGGTGAAAGTATTCACCGTTTCTCTTTTCCCCTGCAAAGTTCGCAGCATTTGTAAGATCTTAGCCATGAAAGCCGTCCGCAACAATCGCCTGGGTTCTGCCCTCTCTTGGAGCATCCGTGCTAAGGATGCCGCCTTTGCCACGCTTGTGTCAGACCGGTGGGTGCCACTGGTGTTGGCTTCCCAGGGACTGGGCGGATGAGGTAGGCTTGAGACTACTGCTCTGATCTCTGGGCCGGGTCTTGCAGGTTCCTCAGGGATTACTGTGAGCGAGGCTGCTTTTCTGATTTGGATCTCATCGACAACCTGGGGCCAGCCATGATGCTCAGTGACCGACTGACATTCCTGGGTGAGTCTCTGGGTTTTGTGGGCACAAGTGGGTAGTTGAGGAGATTGGAGGGATCACACCAGACTTCTCCCAGCACTTTCTTCCTATATTCCCATTGCATCAGTGGTCTCAGAAATGTCCTTGGTCATGCCTAGGATCATGAGTTTGGCTGTAACATCTCCTTAGTGCCTTTTTTCTTTTCCCCTTCCTCCCCCCCCTTCTCCCCTTTCTTCCTTTCTTTTCTGGTATCTTTCCTTCCTTTCTTTCCTTTTTTTCTGTCTTACACTGTGACCCAGGCTGCCAGGCTGGAGTACGGTGGTGTGATCTCAGCTCACTGCAACCTCCACCTCCCAACTTCAAGCAATTCTTGTGCCTCAGCCCCCCTCCTCCCCCACTAGCTGGGACTACAGGCATGTGGCATCACACCTGGCTAGTTTTTGTATTTTAGTAGAGACGGGGTTTCACCATGTTGGTCAGGCTGATCTCAAACTCTGGATCTCAGCTGATCTGCCCACCTTGGCCTCCCAAAGTGCTAGGATTACAGGCATGAGCCACTGTGCCTGGCCTAGTCAATCCCCCTTTTTGTTTTTGAGATGGAGTCTTGCTCTGTTGCCCAGGCTGGAGTGCAGTAGCATGATCTTGGCTCACCATGACTTCTGCTTCCCAGGTTCAAGTGATTCTCCTGCCTCAGCCTCCCAGGTAGCTGGGACTACAGGCACGTGCCACCATGCTCGGCTAATTTTTGTATTTTTAGTAGCAACGAGGTTTCACTATGTTGGCCAGGCTGGTCTCAGAACTCCTGACCTCGTGATCTGCCCACCTCGACCTCCCAGTGTGCTGGGATTACAGGCGTCAGCCATTGCGCCCGGTCGTCAGTCTCTTAACCCATGACTCTTTTTATGTATTTTGATGCTGACGTTTCCCCATATTTGACTCTTTGGAGTTCCTTCAAAGTCTGTTTTTTTTTTTTTTTTTTTTTTTTTGAGACGGAGTTTCGCTCTTGTTACCCAGGCTGGAGTGCAATGGCGCAATCTCGGCTCACCGCAACCTCCGCCTCCTGGGTTCAGGCAATTCTCCTGCCTCAGCCTCCTGAGTAGCTGGGATTACAGGCACACGCCACCATGCCCAGCTAATTTTTTGTATTTTTAGTAGAGATGGGGTTTCACCATGTTGACCAAGATGGTCTCGATCTCTTGACCTTGTGATCCGCCTGCCTCAGCCTCCCAAAGTGCTGGGATTACAGGCGTGAGCCACCGTGCCCGGCTCAAAGTCTGTTTTGAACACTCTTGGTCTGCATCTCATTGGCCTGTTTGGAAACAGCTCTGGAAATATCTCCTGCTCGCTGGAGTGACTTGTCTGGGGTTTTTCATCTCGTTAGGGCCAGGGCGACTTTTGTAGGTGTCACTTGAACGATTTGGGGGAATATGCAGGTGACCTAGTGCTCTCGTTTTGCCATAGGAAAGTATCGCGAGTTCCACCGTGTGTATGGTGAGAAACGTTTTGCTGACGCAGCTTCTCTCCTTCTGTCCTTGATGACGTCTCAGATTGCCCCTCGGTCTTTCTGGATGACTCTGCTGACAGATGCGCTGCCCCTTTTGGAACAGAAACAGGTGAGGGTTGCAGCAGCGGTGGTTTGCTTTGCTTGTCAGTCCCTGCTGGAGCTTAGGTGTGTAGCTGTTGCCGATACACAGGTTTTCTCCCAGCTGTTCTGCCTGCGGGGATGTATTCCCCTCAGCACCCTCTCTGGAATTCCACACTCAAATGGGAAATATCGCTTAGTTTGAAATGAGGTCTTCTATACAAAGCACACTTTTTCCAGAGGGCATGAAAGGAAGAACGTCTGAACATGCGAACATGGGCCCTTGGCTGGGGAGCAGCCAAGCAAGGCAGTCTCTTTCCTAGGTGATTTTCTCAGCAGAACAGACGTATGAGCTGATGCAGTGTCTGGAGGACTTGACTTCAGGAAGACCCGTGCATAGAGGACCCGACACCCAGCAGTGCCAGGTCATTTTAACTTTTGGGTTGATGGTTCCACATGGAGGTGGGAAAAGGCTCCCTCTATCTTAGGCTCCCCTTCCCTCCAGAAACACTGGCTTCTATGTATACATGTGCTCATTTCCCTTAACCTGTGTAATTCACACACCAACTTTTAGGAGAAAACGAGGGTTTCCAGTGTTCTTATCTCTACATTTTGTTCTTTCCTGTTCATTTCCAGTGTGGCCCTTTGGTACTGTTTTTATATTGATAATTTTCTGAAAGCTACTATGAATGTTAAAATGCCCTCCACCTGTGGATTAGCTAGAACCTTCGGGAGTGTGACAGGGCTCCTTCCTGCTGTATCTCACGCTGGCACTCTGCTTTGCAGGATGATGACATAGAGACCACCAAGGTGGAAATGCTGAGACTTGCTCTTGCACGAAATCTTGCTCGGGCAATTGTAAGAGAAGGCTCACTGGAAGGCTCCTGAGAGCTGCTTCAATGTGGTAACTTTGTATTACAATGTATATAATTTTTTAAAAAGAATAAATGTTCTTTTGCAAATGTAGGTTCTTAGAGTCTACCCAGGGAGGTTTTTTTTAGATGGAGTTTTGCTCTTGTTGCCCAGGCTAGAGTGCAATGGTGTGAAATGCATGTAATCCTAGCACTTTGGGAGGCCGAGGTAGGTGGATCACAAGGTCAGGAGTTCAAGACCAGCCTGACCAACATGGTGAAACCCCCATCTCTACTAAAATTACAAAAATTAGCTAGGCATGATGTTGTGCACCTGTAATCCTAGCTACTCAGAGGCTGAGGCAAGAACCCAGGAGGTGGAGGGTTGCAATGAGCTGAGGTTGCACCATTGTACTCTAGCCTGCAATAGAGTGAGACTGTCTCAAAAAAAAAAAAAAAAAAAAGTTATGGTGACTGCAGTGTCTTGAAAATTTGAACAAGACCCTTGGTGGTAGACTTGTGCTTCTGAACTCTTGCCTCACCTCAATCTTCTGGAACACTTAACAATTTTGTTATTTCCCTTAAAATACAAGTGTTCAGAAACCTGTACTTTTAACAAAAACCTGAGGCAGTTCTGTCACAGGCTATTCACTCACCTACGTCTGGAATTCACAGGTGGTACCTTTCCTCCATCAGGGTGAATGGCGTCTGTATTAAGAAGATTCCGAGTACAGTGAAAATGGTTTTATTTAACATGCAGCAAACAAGGGCAGCAGAGTTCGTATATCCAGTACAGCTATTTGCCATGAAGCATTGACCTCAATAGTAACGAGTAACACTCAATTGAGCTTAATAGAAAGTTATATTTCCAGAGTCATTTTATAGACATTCCCAGGGCTGCAGCAGCCAGTCTCTGGAAAGCTCTTGGATTTACTCCTTAAGTTGTGAAAAATGATTCACTTTTGACCTGTCCTAATGAAGCAGTGAAACCTGCTTGCTAAAGACAGCGAGGGCTAGGGAAGGGCTATGACCTCTTGATCTATAGTACGGAATCAGGAAGCCTGGCAAGGGACAGGGAGGAACCAGGGAACATGGTCTGTGCTGCCTTCCTTTTCTAGAGATGTCCAGTTGCTGAGACTGTTCGCCTGAGCTCTGCACGCCTCCCCTGCATCTATGGCTGCTGGTGATTGTTTCCTTTTGCTTTTTGAGGGAGGCTTGGAGTCCCTGTCCCAAGATCACATCCAGCAGCTAGAGTGACCAGGACAAGCTGGCTGGGGCCAAGCACTGTTGAAGCAATAGGGTCTGGTGACTTAGCTTAAGAGTGGCCCCTGATCTCATCACTCCCAGACCCAGCATCTCGCTGACAGTGCCCCTCAGTAGCTGGAGAACAGTCGAGGTTTCTGGGCAGCACATTAGGACATATGTTTAGTGCAACATTTGTGATCCTGAGGCCGCCTGTGTCCAGCCACAGGTGCCACACGACATGCCATCTGGTGAGAGGAGAGGGAGGCCAAAGCAGGAGGACACCGAGTGGTGGGAGATTCTAAGGGGAAGATAGCAGTTTATTTCATGCCAAGCAAGAGGTAGTCAATAGGATGGCCTGTCCCCACTGCTGGAGGCAGGCTTTTCCCAGAAAGCTGAGTACCTGCTTCTGGAGAAGGGGAGACACGGGCTGTCTTCATTTTCTTTCCTATTTCTAGTTGGGCCTGTCATAGAGGCCAAAGTCCATGTCCTGCCAAGATGTCCACAGGACACAGCCTGCCACTGCTGGGGACAAGCAAACAACTCACCACTCAGTGGCCATTCCATGATGCTGCTGCCCACCAGAGGCAGGGCTGGGGACTCTGCAGTATGCCAGTTCCTTATTCTGGGCCAGGCACCTCCCTGGGGGTAGTAGCAGGAGCTGGCCAGCAGGGGGAGCATGAGATCGCAACGGGGCTGTGGCCTCCTGGGCTGCAGGGTGTGAGGATGCGGCTCTTTTGTAGGGAGTGAGACGTGACAGTCTCTCTTTAGAGACTCCCACCCCCCCACCCCTGGTGGCTTCAGTAAATGCCAGTAGAAAGAAGAAAAACTACACCAAGCCTGGGGTCCAGGTTCCCAGAATCCAGAACATCAGTGACATTAGGGGCCACTTCCCACCCCTGACAGAATATGGCCACTTCAAGTCACACAGGTAGATAAAACAGGTCCTTTTAGGGGCCAGAGGAGAGGTTATACAGCAGCAGTTTGGTTCCCAGCAGAAATGCCCAGGGCCCCTGTTCCACATCAAACCTATAAGAACTGTCGTCAGGGCGTGGAGAGTGACGGGACCAGAGCCCTCCCTGGCTCAGGGCAGCCTGCCTGGCTTCAAAGTGGAGATCACAGCGTCCTCTGGGGTCATAGGTTCCCCCACTGCTCCACAGGAGGGAACTGGTCCACCTCGCCCACCTCTGTGCTCAGCTGCTCCCCCAGGGCGAAGGTCAGCTTATACCGAAGCCGTACCTTCTCCTGTGACAGAGGGCAGCAAGTGAGATCCACCCCTCGGCAAGACACCCTCTTTTCTGCTACTCTCTGTGTTAGAGGTATGGTCCCTTTTCCCCAAAACCCCCAACCATGCTAAGCCGGTTAACCTAAGACAGCAAAGGGATGTGTTGATCGTATAGGTCACAAGACTTCCAGCTGGGAGTTGGTGGTCCTGAGGTCCTAATCTGGGGCCTCAGGCTGGGACCCTTGGATTCTGTGATGCTCACCTTCAGCGGATTGGCCAGCAACATGACCTGGGTGATGGCTGCAGGTGGCTGGATGGGGCTAAACGGAGAGAGTTCTGTCCCAGAAGGTGGCTGCAACTTCACTTTCATTGACTAAAGAGAGAGAGACAGAGAGAGGAGTTCCTTTTAAGGCAGCTGAGAGCTGGCAGGTGTCCCAGATGGAACCTGCAGTGTGCGCGCACGCACACACACACTCTCTGTAACACACAAACACACACACACACACACTCTCTCTCTCTCTCTCTCTCTCTCTGTCTCTCTGTCTCTCTCTCTCCCCCCTCTCTCTTTCCTGTCTCTGCCACCTGTTGGCTGCAAAGGCCTCCACACAATAGGGTCAAGATAAGGCCATTTTGGCCCCAGGGAGACAGTGGTACCTTGGGCACTGCAGCTTGCAGCACGATGCTCTTGACAGGTAAGGGAGCCGTGTTCAGCATGGACACCACCACCACCAGCACGTCAGGCCGTCCTGGGGGACACTCCTTGGCAAAGTGGAAGAGGATGCGGAAGCCATTTTTATCATAGGCTGTCACGGGAAGGGCATTACCTACAAGAAAGCAGAACGTGGGTTTGGGAGCACCAGCACCAGAGACACCCAAAAAAGCCCCAGTGGTGAGGAGAAAAGGAGTACACCGAGGCTGTGACAAGTCCAGTGCTTTATGGACTCTGGGACAGGCACTGGTGAGGAGCTTAAGGCTGAGAACTCGGCAGGCAGGCCTGCTCGGCTCTAATGGACCACCTACAAGGAGGCCTGGATCGTCCCATGTCGCGTGTCCTACAGCTCTGTGGCTGTGAGCCCTATCACCCCATCCCACCTCAAGCCTCCAACACTTACTAGGCTTGATCGATTCCAGAGGCACGTGGACGCTGGCCAGGGAGAGCTCAGGCCCCTTCACGGGACTGCCCTGGGACTGGAAAGTAAGTGGCTGGAAGAGTGGGCTGCCAGGCCCCGAGGAGAAGGGCAGGAGAGGCCTGGCTGGGGTGGTGGTGGGGATGAGAGGGGAGGCGGCGGGTTTCACCAAGCCTGAGGTCCTGCGAGGCAGGAAGGATGGAAGGCACATCAGAGCCGGCCAGAGCTGCAGGGCTAACTCTCACCTAAAGCCCCTGGCCATGTTCTTACCCAGGGCCACCCCTCACCTCCCAGTCTGACTGATGGGACTGCAAGGCCCCCCCCATCCCTTCCAAGTTAGCTCTGGTTCTGACACATTCAGGCCCAACCCTCAGCAACTCCCCATCTCTTCCCACTCATTACACTTTGGCCTCTTCTAGAAGCTGATCGAGGGCATCCAGGTGGTACAGTGTGCTGTCGCCCAACGCCAAGCCATGGTGCCCAGGGACTGTGGGCTCAACTTTTGGGGCCACTCCAGTAGAGAACAAGAAGGAGCCCACACTGGGGGCAGGAACACTGGCTGGGACCACAGGAGCTGGGAAGGGAGGCGGCAGTGGAGCTTGGGAGCTGCTTGAGGAGGGGGCTGAGGGCTGGAGCAGAGGAGTGTCGGAAGTACCGCAGGCAGCAGTCCCCGGCCTGGGGCTGAAGAAGGCCAGGTCAGACTGTTCCCTCTATGAGCAATGGAAAGGGTGGTGAGCCGAGGGCGGGGTGGGAGGACCTGCCACTGGGGCAGGGTGCAGCCCTCCAAGGACCACACAGAAGACAGCTCCAGAGGCACTCATCATTTCCCACTGCAGCTGGCACGCTCTGGAGGGGACAGCTAACTGCAGCCCAGGAGAGATGACTCTGGAAAGTATGGAGGTGCTCAGCACAGTAGTGCTGTCACTGTTCCTGTGCCCCTACCTGGAGCAGGTGCCACTGGCTGTTCCCAGCTGACTCTTTGGGAAGAACATTAGGGGCTGGGTCGGCGAGGCCTGACAACAGAGGAGAAAACCTGATGAGAAGAGGACTGAGGTGGGGCAGCCCTAGTTCTGCCTTGCGAGGAAGGGTCAGGTGACAAGTGACATGAGTGAAGGTGCAGGGAGAAGCTGTCCTGCAGGCAGCCTCCAGAGGGGAGCTCTCCAGTCCATACATGCAGAAGTGGGGGGCTTGTGGGGAGGGGTGCAGGGCAGGAGGCACAATCCACCAAGAGGATGCCCCTGGGGGCACCAAGGGTTGCTGAGCTTCACTGACTACCTACAATTCCAGACTGGGGTCCCGCTCAAGGTTCCTCCTGATTCTGTGTACCCGTCTCCCTCCAAGAGCCCTACCAGGGGACGCCGCTGACAGCCCCCCTGTGGGCCGTACCCAAACAGAGCAGCTCCTCATCCAGCAAGGAGAGGGCGTTGCTTGTGCTGTTGGGCCCGGAGGTGGCCTCGGCCTGGCTGGATGAGCGGCTGCGTGGAGGTCCTGAGGCCTGGGGTGGTGGAGGGAGGATTGGGATGCCTGATGAGGGTGGGGTGGGTGCTGGGGCCGACACGGGGGATGAACTGTTCGTCATGTCCAGCTCGGCAAGGTCGATAAGCGTGCCTTGGTTATTGCAGTGACTGTTTCCTGGATGGTCAAGAGAGCAGGACAGGAATAATTAGGGGTCTTCTAGTGGCTGTGTGGCAGGAGACAACGCCCTAGGCACAGTGGTTACTGCTGCAGTTTCTGGCCTAATCCACTGGCATCTCTGCCAGAGGGTGCTGCAAAGCAAGCCTGAGAAGGCAGGCTGGGAAATTCCCACCCACATCTTCAGGCCTCTGGGAAGCTGGAGGACTGCTTGGAATGGCAGAGAACCCCTCAGGTCCTGTGCAGCACCATGCTGTCCAGCCTGCACTCACAGCTTCATGGTAGGGACCTAAGGCTGGTCTGGAGAAGTCCAGAGCTGGGGACCAGAGCATCTCACCTTCTGAGTCAGGCAGGGTTAAGGTGGCCACCTCACCATTGATGACCTGCCCTTCAATAATTGTTTTGTAAGAGTTGATGACACGGGAGAGATTGTCACTGGCCTGCAGGATGTCCCCTAGAGCAGGAAAGAGAGATTTCTGACTCCTGTTATGATAGTTCCCACCCACATATCCAAACTGGCTCATCTCTGCCAATCGCTCTTTCACTTACCCAGACTGTTATCATTGTCCTCAGTCTCGCTGGCAAGTTTAAATAATGTCCGCCTCTTGTTCTCACACCGATCAAACAGCTCCTGAAAGAGACTCAGACATAAAAATTGCAACCACAAAGGCCCTTAGAGACCATCTGATTCATTCAGGGTTCACGGCCAGAAAATGTCAAGGATCCACCAGTTGCCACGGGCAGTTACCAACAAAACTGGGACCACAGTACACATCTTCTTGCCACCACCACACCACGTCACCCAGGATGTTTGTTTAGGTAGCAGTGACCAGGATGGATGACCAGTTCATTCCTGCCTTCCAGGCTGGCATGTGCCTCTGAACTCACTATCCACCCAACCATGGCCTGGACCAGAAGGCCATCAGGGTCACAAGGAAGCCTCTCGGTCCCAGTGTCCCCAAGGCAGTAAGAAAAGGCAGAGAGCAGGGTGAGCACCAAGGGCATGGTCTCTGGAGTCCAACCCAGGTTTCCATCCAGCCCTTACACCCTGGGCAAGTCAGCTGATCCCGATGGCAAATGGGGATGCCACCCTCTACTGATGTGGCTGCTGTGCAGATGCTTAAGGTCGTGAATATGCTGCCAAGGGTGTGCGCAGCCTGTGTCTTTGACAAGGCAGGTATGCAGCACATGCTGGCTGATCTCCTGCAGGGCAGCATGGCCCCAGGAGGCAGCCTTTACTGCCAGCAGGCCCACCTTCATCAGCTCTCTGTCCCCGTCCGAAGAGTCTTCCTGGCTGTAATGAAGCAGCATCTCATTGAGCAGTCTCACGTTGTTGTTAACTTCCTCTAACGTGTGCAAACGCTTGGTCACCTTCTGGATTCGTGCCTCATCCTGCTCCAATGATCGGGAGAAAGAGCACTTAACTCGAATGTCTTCCCACTTCGGCCATGACATGAGCGCAGAGGCTGTGCCTCAGAAGCTCCTTTCAGTGCAGGGTGCCTGGTGCGCAGTCTATACTTCTGCTTTCATATACCCGTCCCGACCCAGTTGTGCTCCTCCCTTCCATGCTCCCTCCCCTGGAAGCTACTGTGCTCCTCCTACTACTCTCAGCCTCTGGAGCAGAGGCAGGGCAGCTGGCAGCAGAGGCTTCTGCTGTGTGGTCATGGGCTCCTCCCCGCTGTGCCCGAAGGACCAGGGCCCACTCACTTCCTTCACCATGGACTTGATGAGCTTGTTGGCCTCTTGCAAGTCATCTGGGTTTTTGCTTTTCAGCAGCTTGGCTAAAAGCTGAGAGAGGAGGAAATCGGAGGTGAAGGAAAGAGGTAGTGCCCCTACCCCAGGGAGACTGTAGAGAGCTCCCCACACTGTGCAAACCATATTCCCCTGCTGCCACCACCTCTCATCCGAGAAAATCCCAGGCCTGGGGCATCCTTTACCTTGGACTTCTCTTCATCATCAAAAACGGGGTTTTTGGGACGAGGTGGTGGAGAGGGGATCAGCGTCCTGTCCACAGGGATGGGTGGGTCAGACTGCACTATGCCTAAAAGGGGACATGGCAGCACGTGCACTCAGGCTGTGGTCACCTTGTCACCCCTCCTCACATACCAAGGGCCACATCCCTGTGATCAAGGCCTGGAAAGGGTAGCAGGGTGGAGGGCAGGCTAATCACACCTTATTCCATCCAGCCTCCACTCAGCCTTGCCTGGGGACAAATGCTGTTCTCTTCAGGAGGGACTCAGGACCCCAAACCTTCCCTTCTCTCCTTGCCTGGGCCAACCTTCCAGAGCTGCCGGGAGACTGCAGGCAGGCAGACACGTACCCTGTCTCTTCAGCATGTGGTAGGCATCTTTGATCTTTGCTTCTTCTGGCAGGGCCATGGTCCAGCTGTACAGCAGCTCAATAACCTTGGTCTTCACTTTCTCAGACACCCTGTCCCCCAGGTACTATGTGGCAAAATAAAATGAGAGGATCTAGTAACTGCAGTTTGGAGGCAAAGATAGTGTAAGGCTCCCTTCACAGCAATGGTGTGGCTGCTTAGCAGCTACAGTCCTCAAGCCTACTCAAAATCTGCAGGTGTCCAAATGTGTATGAAGACAGTGTGGGGAGAGAAGGACCTCCCTGTGGTGTGGCTGTGTCCACCTGGATATAGTCTGTGGATAGGCAGGTCATCACTGTATTTTCACACACAGGCCACCATAAACAAAACTGCATCTTGAGGGTGTTCATGAGAATGTCCTTAGCATGAAAAAGTATTCCCTCTGCTTTAAGTGGGGGCCCAGAGCTATGCAACACCAGTGTGCAGCAGAACCTGACCAGGTGAGCATCAGAGCAAATGACAGAGGCCAGCTCCCTGTAACCATGTAAGACAGGCCAAGAAAACCCACAAAACCCACAACTGCCGTATGCCAGGAGCCTAGAGTCCCACACTCCATGGGCCCTCACCCTGAACACATACACAGCCACTGCTACATCACCTGGCACATTTAGGCTGACGTGGCACTTTCCAGAGAAAGCTGCCAGTCTTGTGGCCTGTTTGGTCATCCCATTACCTCCAAGGCCCTAGCTCTTTAAGGACAAGACACGGAGAACTTCAGCTCCCTGGAGATGCTTGATGGGCAGTGAAAGCCAGCACAATGGGAGATAGGAATAAAAGCAAAAGAGGTCCCTAGAAGCGAGGATTCTGTCGCTGACTGACCTTTGGAGAGACGACTTTGATTAACTCATTCAGAAAGCGGAACTTCCCCACTTCGTTATGAAATCTCCTCCCACAGTTCTTCATGCACGCCTCCAGCACCTGCACCCGCACAGAGGAGACACGCTCAGTGAGGGCACGCTCCAGGCTGGGACCTGACACTGGAAAGACCCCTGGCACCCAGGGAATGCTGAATAAACATGCCCACAGGAAGGAGCTCGTCAGAAAAAGCGGTGTGCACTGCCTGGGCACAGTGCAGTTAAGCAACAGGATCACTCACAGACCATGTCCCTCCAACCGCAAACCTCTGTTGGGGAAGCTGGACAGGGACTAAAGCGAGAAACTCTGAGATCCCGACCCCAAGATGGCCTGGATGCCAGTCCTGGAAGGTGCCTTCCTTAAAGATCCTGGCCTCATGTTTTACAGATGAGGGAAGTGAGGTCCAGGGACAAAGTTTCTCTGACTCAATGTCCAGGGTTCTTTCCATAAGCTCACCAACAGTTGTGCAGAGGGTGGGAAGGATGCTTAACCTGTTATCTTTGATGAAGATGACAGGATATTTCTCCTCCCTCCTCCCTCCGTTGATCTCCCTAACTTACGCTTTTGCTTTCCTGTGCTGCCTGTGGTCCCTGGCACTGCAGTTTCTAAGGAGTGCACCGTCCAGGCTCTCTTTCTTGGCTTCTGCATTTTAAAGCAGGGTTTCTCAAATGAGGCCTGGCTGACATTTTGGGCCAGGCACTCTTTGTTGCAGGGGGGCCATTCTGCACTTTATAGGGTGTTGACCAGCATCCCTGGCCTCTGCCTACTAGATGCCAGGAGGATCGCCACCCTGATGTGTGACAACTAAAAATGTTTCCAGACATTGCCAAATGTTCCCTGGAGGGTCAAATCATACCCTGTTGGGAATCACTGGGTTATTATTATTTTTTTTTTTTGGAGACAGAGTCTCACTATGTCACTCAGGCTAGAGTCCAGTGGTGTGATCACCATTCACTTTAGCCTCAACTTCCTGGGCTCGAGCCATCCTCCAACCTCAGCCTCCTGAGAAGCGGGGACCACAGATATGTGCCACCATGCCTGGCTACTTTTTACAATTTTTGTAGAGGCAGGGTCTCACTTATGTTGCCTAGGCTGGACTTGAATTCCCAGGCTTAAGTGATTCTCCCGGCCTAGGTGCCCCCCAAATTGACTATAGGTACAAGCCACCATGCCCTGCTGAGAACCACTTGCACATAAGCTAAATGATATTTCCTCTTTTCTCTTTCTAGGACCTGAGTCACGCTATAGCCCTGGATTCCTGAGATCTTGGCTGCTCTTTGGTTTAGGAGCATGTGGAGACATCGAGGACCAGGCACCATTCCATGCCTTAAATTCTCTCAGTCTGAATAGACACCAGGTTCTGCCCCAGGGGCCTCAGCTGCCAGCACCACTCCTTCGCTAGTGACCAGCATTATGTTTAAATACAGAATGAACTGGACTCACCTCTCTCTTCTTCAGCTGGCCAACTCTGAACTGTCAACACAACCCTGTCAGCATCTCTTCACGAAGCCTTCCCTTGCCCTACGTGGGCTCAGGGCCCTAACTCTAGGCTGCTTTCCTTAGCCTCTCTGCCTCGCACACTAACCACGTGGCTGTGCTGGCAGGGATGGCACTGTAGTCACCTCTGAGGCCTCAGGGCCTGGCACAATGCACACACATTTGTGGAACGGCTGGCTGAAGAGATTCAAGATCTATCTAAGTTTGTATCAAGGACTTTCTGCTGGCTTTTGGCATGAGCCCTGAGAACCACCAGGGGACATGAGGGATGGCCTGGGCAGGTGAAGAGCCATGGCTTCCATCTCCAGAGGGTGAAGAACCTACCGTCAGGGCCTGAAGTGCCTCCCATTCCTGTGGGGACTGGATCTTGTGGGCCAGCAGTCGGACAGCGATCTGTGGCCTAGGAACAAGCAGAGCACACTTCAGCGCATTGAGCCTGGGGCTGGCCCTCCTTGGCCACGGTTGTTCCCCTTCCCAGTCCGCTGCCTCTCAGCTGCCCCTGCAGTGCTGAGACTCACCCTTCCAGCTCCTTGTTGATCTGATCACAGAAGCCAATTATGTATTCCCAGTCCTCCTGGCGGTTGGAAGGATTGGTGGCTTTATCTTGGGACAGAACAAAAAAAGAGAACAATTGTTACAAAGAGCAAGGAGGATGCAATGGAAGGTTTTCTTTTTTTTTTTTTTTTTTTTTTTTTTTTTTTTTTTTTGAGACGGAGTTTCGCTCTTGTTACCCAGGCTGGAGTGCAATGGCGCGATCTCGGCTCACCGCAACCTCCGCCTCCTGGGTTCAGGCAATTCTCCGGCCTCAGCCTCCTGAGTAGCTGGGATTACAGGCACGTGCCACCACACCCAGCTAGTTTTTTGTATTTTTAGTAGAGACGGGGTTTCACCATGTTGACCAGGATGGTCTCGATCTCTCGACCTCGTGATCCACCCGCCTCGGCCTCCCAAAGTGCTGGGATTACAGGCTTGAGCCACCGCGCCCGGCGGAAGGTTTTCTTCACAAGTTTTAGGCACTAAGAGTTTGCTTCCAATTTTACTCTCTAATAGAGAAGTCTCAATAGCTCAGTCAAGTAGCAAGGAGACAAAAAAAAAAAAAAAGTTCAGAGAGCGACTACAAACACTACTTCCTGTCCAGTATTTTTAAAAGTCACAAATAAAAGAGAAAACAAATTCTTAGTCTCGTGGAGCTTAGAGTGGATCAAGGTCAAAACGACAAACACAAGTAATTAAAATATTCCTGGGCCGGGCGCGGTGGCTCAAGCCTGTAATCCCAGCACTTTGGGAGGCTGAGGCGGGTGGATCACGAGGTCAAGAGATCGAGACCATCCTGGTCAACATGGTGAAACCCCGTCTCTACTAAATATACAAAAAATTAGCTGGGCATGGTGTTGCCTGCCTGTAATCCCAGCTACTCAGGAGGCTGAGTCAGGAGAATTGCCTGAACTCAGGAAGGTGGAGGTTGCAGTGAGCCAAGATTGCGCCATTGCACTCCAGCCTGGGTAACAAGAGCGAAACTCTGTCTCAAAAAAAAAAAAAAAATCCCAAATAAATACATAAATAAAACATGTAAATGTAACAAGTAAAGGGAACCCAGCTATATAAAAATGAGCTCCGTGTTAAGTAGAGATGGTTGAGAAAGTTTTTTTGGAGAAACATACCAGATTGAACTAGATAACAAATATACATATTTACAAACCATGAATATTTTCTACATACCTCTCAAAAGATTTTTCCAGACCTAGCCTTCCATAATGCTTTAAGTGTTTTTGAAATTGCACATAATGCTCATCATTGTCAAGCCAACAATATTCACTTAGCCCCTACTGAGCCCTACTCACTATGCAATCTACCTGAGACTGCAGCTTGAGTATCCAGCACCCTCAGGCTTTAATGGCTTCTGTGACCAATCACAAACCCAAGCACTAGAGTTCTCAGAGGGCCACTGGGATTGAAAATCCAGGCACTCAATGCAAAGTTCAGATGTTTGGTATGGGCTATCCTCTGTTTCCTTCCCAAACCTGTGATTACAGCAAAAAGCCCAGCTGAGGGAGGTTAAACTGGTTCCCATCTCTGATTCAGATCCAGAGGCTACCTCTTGCAGAAAGCACTCTCAAGCTGTTTGCTAAATTTAGGGCTTTGGTTCCGAAGACAAATGGAACCAAAATGGAAGGCTGAAGATGCACACCCTTTAAAACATTCTTGCTTCCTCCCCAGAGCTCCAAGAAGGCCCAAAGCAGAGTGTCAGAGCCCCTCCCGACAAGGGATCCTGTCAGAAGTTTCTGAATTCTAGGCCGGGCGCGGTGGCTCAAGCCTGTAATCCCAGCACTTTGGGAGGCCGAGGCGGGTGGATCACAAGGTCAAGAGATCGAGACCATCCTGGTCAACACGGTGAAACCCCGTATCTACTAAAAATACAAAAAAGTAGCTGGGCATGGTGGCACATGCCTGTAATCCAAGCTACTCAGGAGGCTGAGGCAGGAGAATTGCCTGAACCCAGGAGGCGGAGGTTGCGGTGAGCCGAGATTGTGCCATTGCACTCCAGCCTGGGTAACAAGAGCGAAACTCCGTCTCAAAAAAAAAAAAAAAAAAAAAAAAAAAGAAGTTTCTGAATTCCGATTTCTCATAATTTTATTTTGTTAACTCTAAAAATCACTAGCTGGGCTGGGCACAGTGGCTCACACCTGTAATCCCAGCAGTTTGGGAGGCCAAGGCAAGTGGATCCCCTGAGGTTGAGAGTTCAAGACTAGCCTGACCAACAGGGAGAAACCCCATATCTACTAAAAATACAAAATTAGTCAGGCATAATGGCGCATGCCTGTAATCCCAGCTACTCGGGAGGCTGAGGCAAAAGAATCACTTGAACCCGGGAGACGGAGGTTGTAGTGGGCAGAGATTGCGCCATTGCACTCTGGCCTGGGCAACAAGAGCAAAAATCCTGTCTCAAAAAGAAAAAAAAAACCATCAACTGGATGAGCAAATCCTAACAGAGACTCCAGTCCCTTCACTGGTAACAGGGTTCCAGGGCTCTGAGTAGAGACAACTGGCAGGCAGAGGGAAGGCCCATGGCACCCAGTGCAGCACCCTGCTTCCCAGGTTTGGGCTTGGCCTCCACGGCAGTGTTTCTATTTTTTTTTTTTTTTTTTTTTTTTTGAGACGGAGTTTCGCTCTTGTTACCCAGGCTGGAGCTCAATGGCGCGATCTCGGCTCACCGCAACCTCCGCCTCCTGGGTTCAGGCAATTCTCCTGCCTCAGCCTCCTGAGTAGCTGGGATTACAGGCATGCGCCACCATGCCCAAATAATTTTTTGTATTTTTAGTAGAGACGGGGTTTCACCATGTTGACCAGGATGGTCTTGATTTCTTGACCCTCGTGATCCACCCGCCTCAGCCTCCCAAAGTGCTGGGATTAAGGCTTGAGCCACTGCGCCCGGCTGGCAGTGTTTCTCTTCTAACTGCAAGGGGAAGATGCTGACGGTTTAGGTTCGTATTTATTTATTTATTTTTTTTTTGAGACGGAGTCTTGCTCTGTCACCCAGGCTGGAGTGCAGTGGCACAATCTGGGCTCACTGCAACCTCCACCTCCTGGGTTCAAGTGATTCTCTTGCCTCAGCATACTGAGTAGCTGGGATTACAGGCATGTACCACTGCACCTGGCTAATTTTTGTATTTTTAGTAGATACGGGGTTTCACCATGTTGGCCAGGATGGTCTTGATCTCTTGACCTCAAGTTAGGAGGTCAAGACCAGTGTTGGCCTCCCAAGGTGCTGGGATTATAGGCATGAGCCACCACAACCAACCTAGGTTCCTGTTTAGATGAAAAGAAGGTGTCTGTCTTCAATCTTCAAAGAGAATTAGCAGGTCCTTAAAAATGTCGAGCTTGAAACACAGCTGAATCTAATCAAGGGTGGCCATCTGGAAAGAAACACTTGACAATCCTGCATCACTGCTACAGTAACCTACCAGCTATCATCCTCCAAATGCCGAGTCTCTCCCATCAACTGTCTGAAACCTTCTCAGGTGTCAGTGGGGCTGTTACTAATTCCTATCATTTGAGATGCTTAAAATTCTCACATAACACCAAAAGGCTGCAGGAAACAAAAATTATAATGGTCTCAGGAGCCATTCCCATCCCCCAGTGCTATTATCATTTTGGGAACAGTCATATACCTTGTGACAGAAGAAAAACTGGCCCACTCACTTCCACTTTTTGCTGGGGAAAAGCATCTTCCAAGTGCAGAGTAAAATACAGACTCCTCCACCCTGGAAGCAAAGGGCATTCACCACACAATCTATTCTTCCCAAGCCTATTAGAGTTCCAGTAGCACTTCTACTTCCAAGAACATTCCTGCCCACTTTTCACTTGTATTAACTTCTCTGAAATCTCACTTTCTTCCACCTTGATAGAACTTTTTACTGCAAATCAACAGGGAACTCTTTACCTACTCAGGGCACAAAAAGCCCTAGTTTCTGCAACGGTCAGTTCCATGTCCGAGTATCTCCTCCAGCTCTCTGAGCGGCTCAGAAAGCAGAGCTCCCCCACCCACAGGAATGGGAAGGAACCTCTGGGGATAATTCTGGGTGACTTGATCTCTCCATCTGCCTACTGCGTCCCCCAGCAGATGCACACAGCCTTCCACCCACTCAACATTCTCCTTCACCTGGCACAAAGGTGACACCCGAGTTCTCCTACAGACCCTGCCTTCCTGAACCACCCCTCCAGGCTCTGCTCTGACTCATGGTTTCTGTCTATTTTCGGGTCTCTGCTGAAAGCTTCATCTGTTTCTGTGTCTCTGGATTTCCTGCTCTCATTTTCAGCTTCACTCCATCACTAGCCTAGACTCTCGTAGGACTTAAAACATTATGTGGGAATGGAAACAGCAGCACTGGCTACCGGATTCCAACACAGCTCAGACATTCCAGAGAAAACAAGATTTACATAGCAGGCTGGACACTGTGGCTCACACCTATAATGCCAGCACTCTGGGAGGCCGAGTCAGGTGGATCACCTAAGGTTGGGAGTTTGAGACCAGCCTGACCAAAATGGTGAAACCCCATATCTACTAAAAATACAAAATTAGTTGGGTGTGGTTGCACGTGCCTACAATCCCAGCTACTTGGAAGGCTGGGGCAGGAAAATCACTAGAACCCGGGAGGCAGAGGTTGCGGTGAGCTGAGATCGCACCATTGCACTTCAGCCTGGGCCACAGAGTGAGACACCCTCTCCAAAAGAAAAAAAAAAAAATCTATGTAACAAATGACTTACAAATAAGCAGAGGCAAGAACATGGGTTGGAAAGGGAGTAAAGGTCAACCTTCAATGCTAGGGTCCTGCATCGAAACAGAAACTTAGTCAATCACCAAGTCTTTGTTAGGCACCCACAATGAAGGAAACAGCATGTCAGCATGCCAGACCCTGGAAGGACTACAGAAAAAGTTCAAACACAGATTCTACCCTCGAGGAGCCTGTGCTCTCCTAGTTCAACACATGAAAAAAAAAATTAGTTCATAAAACATGACAGTAGATAATTGGGCTAATTCGGTATAGAAATGAGTGTCAAAACAAATGCATTGGCTGGGCATGGTGACTCACACCCATAATCCCAGCACTTTGGGAGTCAAGGAGGGCAGATCATGAGGTCAGGAGTTCAACACCAGC